ACCACCAAACGTCTGTAAAAAATCTTTTTGTAGAGAAAGGTGCAACGCAACTTTAATCAGTTTAGCCCTAATTTCTTGTAGATTAATCTTTTCATGTTAACAAAGATCTAGCGCCCATTAATCATTATGGCTTTTGATCAATCTCCGGCAAAGTTTTCTCTGCCATTTCCCCAAGTTCGAAAACGTTTTCAGGGGCAAAACAGCAAAATCAGCTCGAGACTGATGTCCCAGTAATCAATAACGATTGTTGTTGCTCTATTTCTCATTTACTCGGTGTGAGTTGATCTCGATTCTTCACTTAAAGTTTGTGGGATTATGAAAGCAAAATCGATCGGCATGAGCTTCAAGTTTTTAACACACACCCATAGTGACAATTTTAAAAGTTTAAGCATTTAAAGAATCTGAAATTCTACCTCGATGGCATTTAAAATGAGGAATTAGCGAAGGAAATAGGTTAACCAATTCTTGGATAGGAAATCATCTGTTCCGGTTCTTTTGTGTATACCCTAATCTAACGGGAAACGTTATGTTCTTTGATACTAAACATTTTTATTCATTCATCGAAACTGGGTGCCAAAAATATAATTTAGACTGATCTGGGCTTTACATTAGAGTATAACCCTTTTTTACCCTACAGTTGGCTTACATTTTCGTGGACACGAAAGAGGCCCATACAGAGCTAGGAAGTTTTTTGCTTTTCAAGAAAACTGAAGTGGACACAGCATGTAAATAATTTTACTATCAAGTTACATCAAGATAAAGAGAAAATTGCGTGAGCTGAAAGGATTACAGGTGGAAGATGATCACCGCCTGCATAAGAGGTTCGTCGCGTCAAAAGTCTACCTTCTTTGTCTTCATCTTTGCCCTTGTCAGGCTATATTTTAAAAACATTTTCAAGGACAGAAAAAAAAACAAAATAAGTAAGCTGATTAATTTCAAGTGAAGGATTTCTTCTACTCAAGCAGGGACTTAAGAGACACTCATGTACTTAATCAAAATTTTCAAGGACTCTTCATCCATCTTAATGGTCTTGCCTTTTATCAACAATACCTAAAACTTCGGGAGATAGCGCTGCGTCTGATTCAATAGCTTTCTAGGCAATATAAGCAGATATAAATGTTGTAGTGCTTGAAAATTTAGGAGGAGATTAACATTTGGATCTTGAGCAAATGAAAACCTTTCTACACCACTTAGGGATACACCGCCCTTAAATGAGAATTTCACTTAGTCGAAAGAAAGCGACGTTTATTCAGGATAAAAAGAACAACAATGAAAGAAGACAAATAATAAAACCAAAAAAACAACAGCAACAAAAAATTACGGGCTCATTACAATGCATTTAACTTCAACTCTCTTCAAATGAATCTCCAAAATGGGAGCTACTGGAGCTTTAAGCATGCTGCTGTTCTGAAATATATTTGTAGATGATCATTTGTAATTGATGTCAGAGACTTATCAGAGAAGATCTTGGCATAAACGCTGCCATTGATAAAAAACCGCATCGGAAACGTAAAAAAGAAAAAATCAAAACATCATCAAATGGCGCAACGTTTATTGGAGTTAATACGGTAATTATACCTCTCAGAGACATAATCTTTAGATTCAATTTAATTGCAATTAAAGATTAAAGTAAAGTTAAAGTACGTTATAAGCATATGTTTCCTTCGTGATTTGTGGTAAGTATTCAAGTTTTTTATTCAAAAAATTTTTGTAATTCATTTCTGAGAGTGAAACAGATAAAATGGTTGTTTCATGCAGATACCGTATTAATTCGCTGTGACACCGTAGCGTTTATCAAATATTTGGTGTTTCCGATGCGACCTTAATCAAAGGCGGTTTGGGTTTTATTTTTTCTTAAAAAGGAAACCATATTTACGCGGGCGATCAAAGGCCCAAGGTTAAAATTCCAGCTTGTTCAGGCTCAATCACAAATCGTCGTCAAGCCTCTAAAACGTGCAAGGCTCTGAAGTGTGAGAACACGTTTTTCGCATGCAGGCTTAAGAACTAAACAAAAAATAGAGGAAACAATGTGTGCATGGGACCATACTTTTAACATGCTTCTCAAACGCTTTTCTCGTGTATTTCACATTTACATCAAATTTACAACTAAAAACTGAGGTCACGCTCTCTCGTGTACTTTCTGCAGTTGTTTAAAATGAATTTGCGGATCCTTATCGTGTACCTCACTGTGAATCCTTCGAGACTCGTTATGGTGAGCTAGTGGCTTAGTGCCAGAGCAAGGAGGTCTGGGATTCCATTCCTCAAGTGGGACTCGTAAATTTTCCTGTTTCCCATGCTCGTGACGTGACCAAAAACATATTTCTCTAATTCATTACCGAGCACAAAATTTAATCCCTTTTCTCATTCTATTAATTTGATAACACTTAAATGAAAGATTGAAGCCAATTGAAAACAAATACGCTCTAAATCCTACCCTGTTTCTACATATTTAGCGAGATAAAAACAAATTTCCCGGATGCTCCTCTTTCGAAAATTTCTCGCGTAAAAATTACTGAGTAAAGGACCATTTGAATATCAGAATTGCAGGGGAAGACAAGGAAAATTATCACATTGACCTCACCTTTTCATTAGTTTTGGTTTGTTTGAAAAATCTGGGTGGTACTTCTTTTTCAAAGGAGTTAGTTTATTGTCAGTTTATCTGCAATAGTCAATTCACCATTCACCCTCAAGTCAAACAAGTTCTATTTCGGATATCGATCAGTATGCTGACAAAGCTAAATTCAAATTTGACACAGAATATTATTAGTCTTTTTTTCACTCTTATTTTACCAAAACGTGATTTTTTTGTTAATCTGATCGGCAATGTTGTGTTTGACGAAGATATCTCTTTGTGTTTCATATGCGTTTGATCTGTAGAAGCGACGCACTCAGCTGTGCCTCGTTTGCCACTGTTTGTTCTCACCACATTTTGTCATTTTGTCAGTTTTCGTTATCTGTGACTTATTATTAGACAGACCCTCGGAAACATGGAATCTCTTTAATTATTACGCGTAGTCTGTTGCCGCTAGCTAGCCATCGAAAGCCATACTTTCTTTTTTTATTTCATTTTACCTTTTTTTTCTCGAAGATATTAGCTCTACAGCTACCCTGAATTTCGAGCTTAAATAAAGTATATGTATGTATGTATGTATGTATGTATGTATGTATGTATGTATGTATGTATGTATGTATGTATGTATGTATGTATGTATGTATGTATGTATGTACTGGCACATAACAGGTGCACACCTTTTCCCTTGAGTACAAAGGGAGTGGCAAGGAAAAATTTGGTTTGTGACATTTGGTTGACAGGTGGGAGCACAAATGGAGCACAAATGGAGCAGAGAAAGAGCCTCACGACTGGGAAGCACTGGTTGCTGATGGGCGGAAGGAATCGATAAGCTTGAATCACTGCTTCTTTTACGTCATGTTTGGCATGTAAGTGAAGTTGTAGCCAACATCTTCACACAAAGGTATTTTTATCCTTTCGCATTTCTTTTCTGCGGTTTTATTCGTTGAAAGAACAGCCACCCGTCATCCTCTCACATTTGTTAACTGGGGTTGTTTCCGTTGGAAGAACAGGCACTGAGGAATGAGGTGTCATTGAGGTTCCATTCGCTACAATTCCGTTTCCTTCCATGCACAGCTTAACACCGACGAGTTCAGGAAACGATTTGCATCTCATGCGTTGGGCCACGAAAAGCCATGCTGACGCATTAGAGGCGCACAACTATCTCTTGCCCGTTCACAAATCGACCGACGTGGTGGAGCTTCTTCTTAGACGTTTGGCTGGCAGGTAGGGGCATACATAAAAACAGAGGAAGAGCTTCAGGTCCGCCGAACAATTTTAATTGGTTCTTTCTTATGATCTCTTGGAGGACGGACGTATAGATCACGTCACCATAAAATAATAATTGGTCTAACCACATTTTGACATCGTTTGTTATTTATTACTGCGCATACGCATAGCAACATGGAATCTATTTGTTAATTTCATCATTATGCGAAGAAGCAGAACAGCTGTCTTGAATATGAACTTTTTTTCTGTTTCCGGTATGATATGAATGCATTCATACATTATTTCTAAGGTTTGCTGTTCTTGTTTTGAAACCATCGAGGGTGTGATATTCCATCTGATATGTTTGATCGATCGCAAGACCTGTGTTTTGGTTTCGTGACTTCGGCTGCAAAGTCAACGATCTTCAGTGCATGACTATCAACCACAATAAGCACTCTGTATGGGGTTCAACTTTTGACATTAGAGGGGGAAGTTAGCCTCAGTTGACAGATGAAGGTATGAACAATGATCCCTCAAACGCGTGTACACCATTGTAAGCTGTTGTTGAACTTTTAATGATAATGTCTACCTACCTTTTGACAACTAGACAAATAACAAATAGCTTAGTAACAAAAATCCACTTTTTAGTATTGTTTCTATTTAAAAGATCCTCCGCTTAAACCATCTGAAGAAATTGTTCATTCTTCTTTTTCACCTTTCATACTAAAGTATGCAGAACTTTTCACTGAGGAGAGCTTCTGTTTAAGGTTTTATGTGGCTGATAACAATGCTTGAACAGTAACAAGTTACAGACAAAACTAGCCTTAAAGCCTGAAATATGCTATCGGCTTTCTTCAGAATCCACTTGTAGCCTATTTCTTTTATTTAGAACTCTAAAAATAGAAAAGGAGAAGAGCAAATTGAGAGATCACAATAAACTGTCCTGGAATAAACAGCTCTCATGTAACCCAGTGTTGGCTGTATACACTTTCATATTTGATTGACAAACCAACACAGGCTAAGGCCCTTTCAGCCAGACGTCGCTAGTTTTCTATGAAGGATGTCAAAATGCATTCACAGTTTGCAAATCTATGCCAGCTGACTCCCCTTCAACTCAGTGACTGAAAATAGTAATTTCTTTCAATTCATCATAAGATTGTAGGTCCATATTCAATCCACTTTGAACAAAAATCAAAACAGTTTAAGAAACAGCCATAAAAGTTTAAGACAGTTTACAACCTGACCACTGGTGTTTTTTATCACAGAGTGGGACATAGATGACACCCATCAGATTCTTCTTCATAATCTGACCATCCTCAAGTTTATCATGCTGTTCAAGAACCTGATTCCGCGCGTCTGCTCCCACTGGACAAATAAGACGACCTCCTGGTTTAAGCTGCTCTAGAAGCTTGGGGTAAAAAATGTATATACATATGAAAATAAATGAATGTTATTCACCAAAAGATTATTCGATTTCAAAGAATGCTGTTTAATGCTGCGCATTAGTTGTCTGCTTGATATTGTATTGATATTGCAAGAAAAATTCTGCCTTGGTCACAAAGGGAGTTAAAAGTTTAAGCAAACTACTGTAAATGTGGTATACAAATCACATATCCACATTTTCCAAAGAAGGGTTCATGTTAAATTTAAGATTTAAGTATATCTTTTACTCACAGTAGACGGTAATTCTGCTGCAGCAGCTCCCACATGGATTGCATCGTAGGGCTGCCCAGATTCATAACCTTTGCGCCCATCACCAGCTGCAGTAAATGGAACAAATGCAATTTTCAATTGGAGTGACATGCAGCCGTCAGCAACAGTTGATTTGGACAAATTTCTCTACAGCCACACTCATGCAAGAAAATGAAACACTTACAGACAATTTTGACTCTGCCCTTTTCAAGAAGTTCAGGGTTCCCTCTTTTAATATTAGCCAAAGAATCTTTGACAAGCTTATCAATATGATCAATTCCATGAACCTTTCCACTTTCTCCAACCTAAAGTTTCAAAGGATTCAGACCACTAGTTTTTCAGTTGAATAACTGTTAAGTGATACTCTTGTCAAATTAAGTTGATTTACTTATTTAAAAAATGGGAAGGAATGAGATCTAACCTAACACCGACACGTCAGCTTTAGAATCTCTTCATGGAGGAAAATTTACATTATTAACTTTGATTAAACCAAGTTGTCTTGTTGTCTTTATTGCCAATTTACTACCACAGTCACAGTTCTAGAGTACTGATACAATAATGATAGTGATACAGATAATAATGGAGGTAATGTTTCACAAATAGATAAAAATGGTGGACAATAGTAAATTCTCAATTTCTTGCTATACATGAGCATGTTAATACTAATCACTGTACTCACCGTATAAGCCATAGCAGCTGTGAGACAGCCACTCCCTGAACCAACATCTAAAGCACAAGCGCCCTCTTTGAGATGACCCTCAAGTTGTTGTAGTGCGTACACATGCTGTAACAACATTACATGTAACTTGCAGTAACTGAATCTAGCTGCAGATTTTGTCTGGCTGGTAACTATCAGTTGATTTAGAAACACTAGATACCCAAGAAGTAGCTATCTCATTTGTTGGTCATGACTATCTATACACCTTTTTCACAAAACTGCATAAATTTCTGATCATTGTTCTTACATATATGTTACTATTGATCACTCAGAAATCAAAGAAAGCAAAATTTGAAACAAAGCCATGATGATTGCTGATCATTTTGGAATAATATTGTATCATTATAGACAAAACTGAACTTCCTACTACTATGCTAGTGATAAATCAAACTGTAAGAGCATTTATGGAAGGAAAAAAACCATCAGTAAATAGAACATTACAGTTGATAGTTCAATTTAACAGTCTTCCAAGTGTTCAAATTCAGGCTGTTGATAGCTTATCTCAAGTTATTTAGTTTGAGGTTTTGATTAAGAGAGGTTAGGCCTGTGCTCTGCTCCCGCTACCCGATGTGTCGATGGAGGAGACGGCTGCACTCAGGACAGTGAATCTAAGCTCCTATGATAGCTCTGGATGGGGATATTTAAAGCTCTACAAAACTTATTTTGGTTCCCTGGTTATTTGGTAATTATTGGCATTAACCTAAGGGTTATATTCAAGTTAACGAGCGTGATATCTTTCTGCTTCTTTCTTTTTCTAATGTCGTAACCTTTTCGCCACAGGAAAGTTTTTCAACCTAAGCACTAGAGGATCTCAACGGGGTTAACCAATGGCCGTAAAACAGAAAAAACGACGAAGCCGTTAGACTAAAAAAATCGTGAAGTTGTATCGTTAGTAGTGGAAATAGTTAACCGAGAAATTTTCCTCTGCTACCTTTAACGGAAAAAAATCAATCTTTAGTTGTAAAATGGCTAAAAGTAATAAATGAGAAAGCCTGCACAAGACTGCATAATAAACAAACCGTGCAAGAACAGATTATTAGCAACAGTAAGAAAATGAGACCCGAGTGAAACGTTAATCTTATCATGAGCGAAACTTATTCGAGTGTCGACCATGCCAATTTGATGAAAGAGACATGTTGATTTAGACGTAGAACATTTTTTGACAGTTGTATAGTCGTTCCTAACACGAATTCGAGATTTTAGTGAGCTCAGGATAAATTCGTGTCACGAACTTCTGCATTATTTTAAGCGCACGCTAAGATCGGCGCGCGCAAGCCAAAGCTGTTTTAAATTTGAAAAAAATGGGACTAACAGTTATTTTGCCTTAAGACGGCAAAATAATTTAGCAAATTAGGTGTAAAAATTGTCGAATTGTATCCGTTACTGTTAAAAAAGGTTAACCGTTAAATTTTTCTTCTAACTTTAACAGAAAGAAATTAATAGTTAGCCGTCATATAATGGCCAATACAATGGATTCTCAAAACACAAATAGTGAACTGAACAGCAGATTAAGGCAAGTTATGTGGATTCCAATGTTGACCTCTCGCGGACTTATAAAATTGCTAGCTGAAGTCAGTTCTAAATAAGCGTTACCATCCATGGAAAACGTCTCTTCAGCCTCTGAGCTGCTGGTACATCAAAGGATTTTATAGTCTTCGCGACAACTTCGATGATAAAAGAGCTCTTCTTAGAAGGAAGAAAAGATTTGAAAGAGATCCAGCCCGGTTTGAAGGTTAAAATCGAACTTTAAAAATATCAAACTGAGAAAAACAATGAAAAAAATGCGTGTCGTGTGCCCTACAAGCCGCCACATGGAATGACATCACTGTAGAATATCCGTTAGCAGATGTGCACTTGGCAAGTAAATCTTGTCAGTCTCATCTCAGAAAATTGAGCTTTGCGCGTTAAAAAGGCCTCAAATTACATGCTAAAACACGCAAATGCAGGTGCCAGGTGCATGTGGTAATGCTTGTAAATCACACGCGAGACAGAAAAATTTATTTGTAACGTTTGTGTTCTGATTCAGTCCTCAACCTTTAACTAGGTTCCCAGCTTTCTTAGTCAGGTTAACATGGAAGAAATGGAATTAACCATATCATTCCTCAAACAACCACAACAACAACAAAACAATAAGCCTAACAAACAAATAAAAAACAACTGCAGAGGAAGGACTATTTCTTTTTCGTAAATTCTTAATTACGACAACGAAGACACAAAGAAGAGGTTATTTCAATAATTTCACTCCGCTGTTTTTAGATTAAACTTTCAACGGAGAAAATAAGAGAACTCCTTTAGTTATTTTATAAGAGGCAAGGCACTGCAAAAATGATGCGGTTTGAACTTTGTCACCCAACTCTGGAGCTAAAAGATTGTGTTTTAAATATCATATAAAGGCAAGAGAAGAGGCTCGCTAACTTTAGCTGAAATAATGTCCAGTCCTTCAGGGTGTCGCAGATCAAACACTATTTCTGAATGAACATAACTTTTGTCATTTTTTTTTAACCTCCTGACAACTCTTCTCTGTCAATGTTTGGAATAAACACGAGCTCTTATTTTTATTGGTTTTATTCCAAACGGATATATTGCTACAAAAATATTTTCTTCCCGGTCTCCAAAGCCAAAGTAAAAAGAAAGAAAAGTAAATTACATTTAAATCAGAGATAGCGCTCGATAATAATATTAATAGTGATGAGAATAGAAATAAGAGGGATTAAATTCAACTCAGGCGTTCATTTGTTTACTAAGACAAGCATTAGCACAAGATGTACCCAGTTCACGGAAGGTGTGTTTGAAAGAGTCCTGTATCATTACACGGATTTAATTAGAAGCAGCTAAGAAGATGTGAAAAATACTTCTTAACATGTAGATCATGTTAGTAACCAGGCCATTTTGCTTCACTCATTCAGCTTCACGCTTTAACTCTTAGTAATGCCGGATTAACATGTAACTTCTCACTATAACACTCATACATTATTTAACAAACAGGTAATGAGAATACTCAAACGTATCAGGTAGAGATTGTTATCTTGATTTAACACAAGATTCTCGTGACTATTCTGCAAGGAAATGCGTAGCAGCCAGAGAGAATTAATCAGATCTTTGTAGTTTAAGGGTCAACTCAAGCGCAAACACAATAGCCTTATTTTAACAGGGGAACGGCGTACACGCCACAATACAAACTTAAATTTGGAAATACAGAACAAGAAGGTTTACCCAAAAGTTGACGTTTCGTTGACATTATGACGCTATTTTCAAGAGAACAATGAGTATTCTTTGATTGCGAGAAGACTTAGCAGAGCTGAATTAATCAACACGAGGTAGCAAACAACGACTTCAGTTGGCACCTTGGCTCAGGCCATACCTTGTGCACGATATGTTCAAATGGGCCACCGCATAGGGTCAAGGATATGATGTCTACCGAAGGGTTTACGAACACATGAAGATTAGTGCTAAACCGCCCTAGACAAGAGTGATTGTTGTGAATCAACAAAAGCACCTGTTATCAACTGCTATGGCAACAAAAAACACTTCTGTTAAGAATTCAAAAAATGCGAGAGGAAGGGTGTGATACAGCAAGAGAAGACTTTATTTATTTATTTTACACAACTTAGATTTTTGTGCACTGGTCGACCAAGAAAAACATTGAATATAACTTTTATTTCAAAGATTACTGATATATTTTTTTTATAGGGTAATTTAAACTTGACTTGGAAAGGATCTTTACAAGGCTACCTGCCCATCACATTTGAAAATTATATTTCATATAACTTTTACTTTGACCTCAATAACAAATTAATATTTATTTACTTTTCTCCGCTAGACTAAAAGAGCGCACATCTTTCTCGGAAATAGAAGAAGAGTTGAAGTGAACTTGAAAGATCAATTTTAAAGTTCAAATAAGGCTTTAAACTGCTTATGAAATTTAAGATTCGAAATCGCCAGCTTTCGCTAATCCACTTCATCATTACTGTATGGCTTGTTTTTCCAAATAACAAATCGAACGCAAAATATAACGAGATATGACTGATGATATAAATGACGGCCAATATTAGAAAATGGCACCCAAATGTTGCGGTTTAAAAGTCAGTCTTTTTGGTTCTCTGCTGTGTTTGGTAGTAGCTGCAGATGTTGTCGTGGAGGTATTGTTTATGCACCCTTATGTACAATCCCGTTCGTATCTATGCACGACCTCTTGCCGCCAGCTTTTGGAAAATTTTTGCATCTCATTCTCTTTGGCCAGCGAACTTGATGTAGGCGCATGAAAGGAGCACAGCCTCTCTTCGCTTGTTTGCAAGTCGAGCGACAAGGAGGAAGTGGGTCTGTGACATTCGGTCGGCATTCTGGAGCGTACATAGAGCAAAGAAAGAGCTTCAGATTTGGAGAACACTTGCCTCCAAATAGTGGCCTGAGCTGTTGGAAATAGACGGCATCTTCCTCCTTGATGTTTGGCATTGAGGTACGGTTGTAGCCAATACCCTGGCAGAAAGGAATTTTTATCCTTTTACATTTCTTTACAGCGACTGAGGGTAAAGGTGTCGTTACGGATCCTTTAGCTGAATTTCTGTTTGGTCCTATGCATATCTTTTGGCCGAATTTCGGAAAATTTTCGCATCTCATTCGCGTGGGCCACGAAAAGCCGTACTGGCGCATAAGAGGCGCACAACCTTCCCTTGCTTGATGGCAAAGCGATCGACATGGGGGAATTTCTTTCCTATAGTTCGGCTGACATATAGGAGTATAAAGGGAGCACAGAAAGAGCTTCAGGTCTGCCGAACACTTGATCTCGACTAGCGGCCAGAATTGATGAACTTCAAGCGCCGCCTCTTCCTGTGTGTCGTGGTTGAACATGTTTGGCATGTAGGTGAAGTTGTAGCCGATGCCCTGACACAAAGGTACTTTGATCTTCTCACATTTCATAAATGGGGTTTTTTTCTTCGGAAGAACAGGCTCTAAAGGATGAGTTGTCGTTGACGTTCCGTTCGCTACAATTCCATTTCCTTCCACGCACGGCTCATCGCCACCGTGCTCAGGAAACGTTTTGCATCTCATGCGTTCGGGCCAAGAAAAGCCATACTGACGCAGTAAACGCGCACAACCATCTCTGGCCCTTTCACAAATCGAACGACATGGTGGAACTCTTTTTTTGACGTTTGCCTGGCATTTTGGAACAAACATGGAACAGAGGAAGAGCTTCAGGTCCGCCGAACACTTGATCTCTACTAGCGGCCAAAATTGATGAACTTCAAGCGCTGCCTCTTCCTGCTTGTCGTGGTTGAACATGTTTGGCATGGAAGTGAAGTTGTAGCCAATGCCTTGGCACAATGGTATTTTGATCTTCTCACATTTTCCTATTTTACCAGAAACGCGGGTGCTCGCACTCAAAAGCAGCAAGGTCGTGAAAACGAAGCACTGAATTTCAGCCATTGCAATGGTTATTGTGAGAATGTTGTCGATATCTGACTCAAGCCCTTTATGTACTTAATTCTTGTCAAAATCCTGATGAAATGTTTATCCTAGCTTAAGGTTTTGTTAACCAGTCAATGGCAATGACCTTGTCTGGACTGTTCAACTGATACGATTAGCTAAACGAGATTTACCGAAAATAGTGGATTTGATTACTGAGCTGTATAGCTTTGCGCAGATCTTTATTGGCTACAATTTGTTTCAATTAGTTTTGCCTTAAAGTGAGATAGAACCCCACTAAACGTCTGTAAAAAACCTTTTTGTCGAGAAAAATGCAACGCAACTTTAATCAGTTTAGCCCTAATTTTTTGTAGATTAGTCTTTTCATGTCAACAACGATCTAGCGCCATTCATCATTACGGCTTTTGATCAATCTCCGGCAAAGTTTTCTCTGCCATTTCCCCAAGTTCGAAAACGTTTTCATGAGCAAGACAGCAAAATCAGCTCGAGACTGGTGTCTCTGTGATCGCTAGCAATTTCTCTTGCTCTATTTCTCATTCACTTGGTGTGAGTTGATCTCGATTCTTCACCTAAAGTTTGTGGAATTATGAAAGCAAAATCGACCGGCATGAGCTTAACGTTTTTAACACACACCCATAGTGACAGTTTTAAAAGTTTAAGCATTTAAAGAATCTGAAGTTCTACTTCGATGGCATTTAAAAGGAGGAAAAAGCGAAGGAAATTGGTTAGCCAATTCTTGAATAGGAAATCATCTGTTCCGGTTCTTTTGTGTATACTCTAATCTAACGGGAAACGTTATGTTCTTTGATACTAAACATTTTTATTCATTCATCGAAAGTGGGTACCAAAAATATAACTTAGACTGATATGGGCTTTACAGTAGAGTATGACTCTTTTTACCCTCCGGTTGGTTTACATTTTCGTGGACACGAAAGAGGCCCATACAGAGCTAGGCAGTTTTTTGCTTTTCAAGAAAACTGAAGTGGACACGGCATGTAAATTATTTTACTATCAAGTTACATCAGGATACAGAGAAAATTGCGTGAGCTGAAAGGATTACAGGTGGAAGATGATCATCGCCTGCATAAGAGGCTCGTCGCGTGAAAAGTCTACCTTCTTTGTTTTCATCGTTGCCCTTGTCAAGCTATGTTTTAAAAACATTTTCAAGGACAGGAAAAAAAAGAAAAATAAGTGGGCTGATGAACTCTAAGTGAAGGATTTCTTGTACTCAAGCAGGGACTTAAGAGACATTCATGTACCTAATCAACATTTTCAAGGACTCTTCATCCATCTTGATGGTCTTGCCTCGTATTGACGAAAAACTTCGGGAGATAGCGCTACGTCTGATTTAATAGCTTTCTAAACAACATAAGCGGATATAAATGTTGTAGTGCTTGAAAATTTAGAAGGAGATTAACATTTGGATCTTGAGCAAATGAAAACCTTTCTACACCACTTAGGGATACACTGCCCTCAAATGAGAATTTCACTCAGTCGAAAGAAAGCGACGTTTGTTCAGGATAAAAAGAACAACAATAAAAGAAGACAAACAATAAAACCAAAATAGGCAAAAACAAAGACTAAAAAAATTAAAACAACAGCAACAAAAAATTACGGGCTCATTACAATGCATTTAACTTCAACTCCCTTCAAATCAATCTCCAGAATGGGAGCTAGTGGAGCTTTAAACATCCTGCGGTTCTGAAATATATTTGTAGATGATCCTCTGTGATTGATTTCAGAGACTTAACAGAGAAGATCTTGGCATAAACGCTGATTGATTAAACACCGTATCGGAAACGCAAAAAAAAAAAAAGCCAAGACAGCATCAAACGCCGGAACGTTTATTGGAGTTAATACGGTAATTATACCTCTCAGAGACATAACCTTTAGATTCAATTAATTGCAGTTACAGATTAAAGTAAAGTTAAAGTACGTTGTAAGCATATCTTTTCTACGTGATTTTTGGTAAGTATTCCAGTTTTTTGTTTAAAAAAATTTTAGTAATTCATTTCTGAGAGTGAAACAGACAGAATGGTTGTTTCATGCAGATGCCGTATTAATTCGCTGTGACACCGCAGCGTTTATCAAATTTTTGGTGTTTCCGATGCGACCTTAATCAAAGGCGGTTTGGGTTTTATTTTTTCTTAAAAAGGAAATCATATTTAGGCGGGTGATCAAAGGCCCAAGGTTAAAATTCCAGCTTGTTCAGGCTCAATCACAAATCATCGTCAAGCCTCTAAAACGTGCAAGGCTCTGAAGTGTGAGAACACGTTTTTCGCACGCAGGCTTAAGAACTAAACAAAATATAGAGGAAACACTGTGTGCATGGGACCATACTTTTGACATGCTTCTCAAACGCTTTTCTCGTGTATTTCACATTTATATCAAATTTACAAGTAAAAACTGAGGTCACGCTCTCTCGTGTACTTTCTGCAGTTGTTTAAAATAAATTTACGGATCCTTATTGCGTACCTCAATGTGAATCCTTCGAGACTCGTTATGGTGAGCTAGTGGCTTAGTGCTAGAGCAAGGAGGTCTGATATTCCATTCCTCGAGAGGGACTCGTAAATTTTCATGTGTCCCATGCTCGTGACGTGACCAAAAATATATTTCTCTAATTCATTACCGAGCATAAAATTCAATCCCATTTCTCATTCTATTAATTTGATAGCACTTAAATGAAAGATTGAAGCCAATTCAAAACAATTACGCTCTAAATCCTACCCTCTTTCTACATATTTTGTGAGATAATAACAAACTTCCCGGATGCTCCTCTTTCGAAAATTTCTTGCCTAAATTATTGAGTAAAGGACCATTTGAATATCGGAATTGCAGGGGAAGACAAGGAAAATAAACACATTGACTTCAGTTTTTAATTAGTTTTGGTTTGTTTGAAAAATCTGGGTGGTACGTCTTTTTCAAAGGAGTTAGTTTACTGTCAGTTTATCTGCAATAGTCGATTCACCATTCACCCGAAAGTCAAACAAAGTTATATTTCGGATGTCAGTATGCTGACATAGCTAAATTCTAATTTGACACTGAATACTATTAGTCTTTTTTTCACTCTTATTTCAGTAAAACGTGATTTTTTTGTTAATGATCGGCAATGTTGTGTTTGATGTAGATATCTCTTTGTGTTCCATATGCGTTTGGTCTGTAGAAGCGACGCACTCAGCTGTGCCTCTTTTGCCACTGTATTGTACTCACCACATTTTGACGTCATCTGTGACTTATTATTAGACAGACCCTTGGAAACATGAAATCTCTTTAATTATTTCATTTTTTACTTAGAAAACACCAGAATAATACAACTTCTCACTGTATGTTGCAAATACAATCAGGTGGAAAGCCTATAACTACTATTACTTACAATTAAATCTTTTGCTTTCAATACGTTTACAATACTTCGACTACCGACGAATACTTACGACTGCTCACGAAGAAATTTTCGCAATATATGACTCTACTTCATAAAATTGTACTATTCATTATGCTGACTAGTTTACCAAAGATGCCAATCAAAAATATTTCAAAAAGAAACATGCGCTATTATAGATATGACCGCACATAGCCACATTGGAAAATGACTTTTGTCTGTAACTCAACCTCCAAAACTGGAAGTAATAGCAATCAAGATGAAATACCATTCTTCACAATTTTTCCAGGAGGCTGGTGTGTTTGGGAATTTTTTGCTGTCGAGTTATTATCAATGCACTATTACGTACCATTGCGTTCCGATCTACGCGTACTCTGTTGCCGTTAGCTTTGGGAAAATGTCTGCATCTCATCGTTTTGGGCCATCGAAAGCCATACTGGCACATAATAGGGGCACAGCCCCTTTTCCCTTGAGTAAAAAGGGAGTGACAAGGAGAAATTTGGTCTGTGACATTTGGTTGACAGGTGGGAGCACAAATGGAGCAGAGAAAGAGCCTCAGGACTGGGGAGCAATGGTTGCTGATGGGCGCAAGGAATTGATAAGCTTCGAGCGCTGCCTCTTTTTACGTCATGTTTGACATGTAAGTGAAGTTGTAGCCAACATCTTCACACAAAGGCATTTTCATCCTTTCACATTTCTTTTCTGCGGTTTTATTCGTTGAAAGAACAGCCACCCGTCATCCTCTCACATTTCTTAACTGGGGTTATTTCCGTTGGATGAACAGGCACTGAGGAATGAGGTGTCATTGAGGTTCCATTCGCTACAATTCCGTTTCCTTCCATGCACGGCTTATCACCGACGAGTTCAGGAAACGATTTGCATCTCATGCGTTTGGGCCACGAAAAGCCATGCTGACGCATAAGAGGCGCACAACCATCTCTTGCCCGTTCAAAAATCGACCAACGTGGTGGAACTTCTTTTTAGACGTTTGGCTGGCAGGTAGGGGCATACATGAAAACAAAGGAAGAGCTTCAGGTCCGCCGAACAATTTTGATTGGTTCTTTCTTATGATCTCTAGGAGGACGGACGCATAGATCACGTCACCATCAACAAGATTTTCCTTCTTTAATAATAAATAATAATTGGTCTAATCACATTTTGACATCGTTTGTCATTTATTACTGCGCATACGCATAGCAACATGGAATCTATTTGTTAATTTCATCATTATGCGAAGAAGCAGAACAGCTGTCGTGAATATAAACTTTTTTTCTGTTTCCTGTATGATATGAATGGATTCATACACCCTCTTTGAGATAACCCTCAAGTTGTTGTACTGCATACACATGCTGTAACAACATTACATGTAACTTGCAGTAAGTAGAAATATCGGTAACCGAATCTAGCTGCAGATTTTGTCTGGCCGGTAACTATCAGTTGATTTAGAAACACTAGATACCCAAGAAGTAGCTATCTCATTTGTTGGTCATGACTATCTATACACTTTTTTCACAAAACTGCATAAATTTCTGATCATTGTTCTTGCATATATGTTACTATTGATCACTCCTACTATGCCAGTGATAAATCGAACTGTAAGGTCATTTATGGAAGAAAAAAAAACTATCAGTAAATAGAACATTACAGTTGATGGTACAATTTAACAGTCTTTTAAGGGTTCAAATTCAGGCTGTTGATAGCTTATTTCAAGTTATTTGGTTTGAGGTTTTGATTAAGAGAGGTTAGGCCTGTGCTCTGCTCCCGCTACCCGATGTGTCGGTGGAGGAGACGGCTGCACTCAGGCCTGTAAATCTAAGCTCTATGATAGCTCTGGATGGGGATATTTAAAACTCTACCAAACTTATTCTGCTTCGCTAGTTATTTTGTAATTATTGGCATTAACTTAAGGGTTATATTCAAGTTAACGAGCGTGATATCTTTCTGCTTCTTTCTTTTTCTAATGTCGTAACCTTTTCGCCACAGGAAAGTTTTTTAATCTCATCACTAGAGGATCTCAACGGGGTTAACCATTAGCCGTAAAACAGAAAAACAATTAAGCCGTTAGGCTAAAAAAATTGTTAAATTGTATCCGTTCGCAGTGAAAATAGTTAACCGAGAAATTTTCTTCTGCTAACTTTAACGCAAAGAAATCAATTGTTAGCTGTAAAATGGCCAAAATTAATAAATGAGAAAGCCTCTTTGACCAGCAGGTGAAAGAGCAATGAAATGACATATCTTTGAAATGGAAATTTTAAAAATGACGCTTCGAGATAAGGAAGTCAAACAAGGTTATGGATAGGCTGGAAAACTGCATAATAAACAAACAGTACCAGAACAGATTATTAGCAACAGTAAGAAAATGAGACCCGAGTGAAACGTTAATCTTTTCATGAGCGAAACTTATTCGAGTGTCGACCATGTCAATTTGACGAAAGAGACATGTTGATTTAGACGTAGAACATTTTTTGCCCGTTGTATAGTCGTTCCTAACACGAATTCGAGATTTTATTGAACTCAGGATAAATTCGTGTCCCGAACTTCTGCATTATTTTAAGCGCACGCGAAGATCGGCGCGCGCGAACGAAAGCTGTTTTAAATTTGAAAAAAATGGGACTAACAGTTATTTTGCCTTAAGACGGCAAAATAATTTAGCAAATTAGGTGTAAAAATTGTCGAATTGTATCCGTTACTGTTTAAAAAGGTTAACCGTTAAATTTTTCTTCTAACTTTAACAGAAAGAAATTAATAGTAAGCCGTCATATAATGGCCGATATAATGGATTATCAAAACACACAAATAGTGAACTGAACAGCAGATTAAGGCAAGTTATGTGGATTCCAATGTTGACCTCTCGCGGACTTATAAAATTACTAGCTGAAGTCAGTTCTAAATAAACGTTACCATCCATGGAAAACGTCTCTTCAGCCTCTGAGCTGCTGGTACATCAAAGGATTTTATAGTGTGATTTTATATTATTGTAAGTTGTGACACGCTCTAGAACCCACATAATTGTGGAGTCGCTGGACTTATCGCAAAATAGCCAACTCCAGACGAAATGACGAAATGACAGCCAAACGAATTTTATTAGTTCCTAGTCTTCGCGACAACTTTGATGATAAAAGAGCTCTTCTTAGAAGGAAGAAAAGATTTGAAAGAGATCCAGCCCGGTTTGAAGGTTAAAACAGAACTTTAAAAATATCAATTTGAGAAAAACAATGAAAAAAATGCGTGTCGTGTGCCCTACAAGCCGCCACATGGAATGACATCACTGTAGAATATCCGTTAGCAGATGTGCACCTGGCAAGTAAATCTTGTCAGTCTCATCTCAGCAAATTGAGCTTTGCGCGTTAAAAAGGCCTCAAATTACATTCTAAAACACGCAAATGCAGGTGCCAAGTGCATGTGGTAATGCTTGTAAATCACACGCAAGACAGAATAATTAATTTGTAACGTTTGTGTTCTGATTCAGTCCTCAACCTTTAACCAGATGGTTCCTAGCTTTCTTAGTCAGGTTAACATCGAAGAAATGGAATTAACCATATCATTCCTCAAACAACCACAACAACAACAAAACAATAAGCCTAACAAACAAATAAAAAACAACTGCAGAGGAGGGACTATTTCTTTTTCGTAAATTCTTAATTACGACAACGAAGAAGAGGTTATTTCAATAATTTCACTCCGCTGTTTTTAGATTAAACTTTCAACGGAGAAAATAAGAGAACTCCTTTAGTTATTTTATGAGAGGCAAGGCACTGCAAAAATGATGCGGTTTGAACTTTGTCACCCAACTCTGGATCTAAAAGATTGTGTTTTAAATATCATATAAAGGCAAGAGAAGAGGCTCGCTAACTTTAGTTGAAATAATGTCCAGTCCTTCAGGGTGACGCAGATCAAACACTATTTCTGAATGAACATAACTTTTGTTCTTTTTTTTAACCTCCTGATAACTCTCCTCTGTCAATGTTTGGAATAAACACGAGCTCTTATTTTTATTGGTTTTATTCCAAACGGATATATTACTACAAAAATATTTTCTTCCCAGTCTCCAAAGCCAAAGTAAAAAGAAAGAAAAGTAAATTACATTGAAATCAGAGACAGTGTTCGATAATAATATTAATAGTGATGAAAATAGAAATTAGGGGAATTAAATTCAACTCAGGCGTTCATTTGTTTACTAAGACAAGCATTTGCACAAGATGTACCCAGTTCACGGAAGGTGTGTTTGGAAGAGTCCTGTATCATTACACGAATTTAATTAGAAGCAGCTAAGAAGATGTGAAAAATACTTCTTAACGTGTGGATCAAGTTAATAACCAGGCCATTTTGCTTCACTCATTCAGCTTCACACTTTAACTCCCAGTAATGCCGGATTAACATGTAACTTCTCACTATAACACTCCTACATTATTTAACAAACAGGTAATGAGAATACTCAAACTTATCGGGTAGAAATTGTTATCTTGATTTAACACAAGATTCTCGTGACTATTCTGCAAGGAAATGCGTAGCAGCCAGGGAGTATTAGATCATTGGAATTTAAGGGTCAACTCAAGCGCAAACACAATAGCCTTATTTAACAGGGGAACGGCGCAAATGCCAGAATACAAACTTAAATTTGGAGATACAAAAGAAGAAAGTTTACCAAAAAGTTGACGTTTCGTTGACATTATGACGCTATTTTCAAGAGAACAATGAATATTCTTTGATTGTGAGAAGACTTAGCAGAGCTGAATTAATCAACACGAGGTATCAAACAACGACTTTCAGTTGGCACCTTGGCTCAAGTCATACCTTGTGCACGATATGTTCAAATGGGCCACTGCATTGGGTCAAGGATATAATGTCTACCGAAGGGTTTACGAACACATGAAGATTAGTGCTAAACCGCCCTAGAAAAGAGTGATTGTTGTGAATCAACAAAAGCACCTGTTATCAACTGCTATGGCAATAAAAAACACTTCTATTAAGAATTCAAAAAATGCGAGAGGAAGGGTGTGATACAGCAAGAGAAGAATTTATTTACTTATTTTACACAACTTAGATTTTTGTGCACTGGTCGACCAAGAAAAACAATGAATATAACTTTTATTTCAAAGATTACTGATATTTTTGTTTTTTATAGAGTAATTAAAACTTGACTTGGAAAGGATCTTTACAAGACTACCTGCCCATCACAATTGAAAATTATATTTCATATAACTTTTACTTTGACCTCAATAACAAATTAATATTTATTTTCTTTTCTTCGCTAGACTAAAAGAGCGCACATCTTTCTCGGAAATAGAAGAAGAGTTGAAGTGAACTTGAACGATCAATTTTAAAGTTCAAATAAGGCTTAAAACTGCTTATGAAATTTAAGATTCAAAATCGCCAGCTTTCGGTAATCCACGTCATCATTACTGTATGGCCTGTTTTTTCAAATAACAAATCGAACGCAAAATATGACGAGGTATGACTGATGATATAAATGACGGCCAATATTAGAAAATGGCACCCAAATGTTGCGGTTTAAAAGTCAGTCTTTTTGGTTCTCCGCTGTGTTTGGTAGTGGCTGCAGATGTTGTCGCGGAGGTATTGTTTATGCACCCTTATGTACAATCCCGTTCGGGTCTATGCACGACTTCTTGCCTCCAGCTTTTGGAAAATTTTTGCATCTCATTCTCTTGGGCCAACGAACGTGATGCAAGCGCATGAAAGGAGCACAACCTCTCTTCGCTTGTTTGCAAGTCGAGCGACAAGGAGGAAGTGGGTCTGTGACATTCGGTCGGCATTCAGGAGCGTACATAGAGCAAAGAAAGAGCTTCAGATTTGGAGAACACTTGCATCCAAATAGTGGCCTGAGCTGTTGGAAATAGACGGCATCTTCCTCCTTGATCTTTGGTAGTGAGGTACGGTTGTAGCCAATACCTTGGCAGAAAGGTATTTTTATCCTTCTACATTTCTTTACAGCGACTGAAGGTAAAGGTGTCGTTACGGATCCTTTAGCTGAATTTCTGTTTGGTCCTATGCATATCTTTTGGCCGAGTTTCGGAAAATTTTCGCATCTCATTCGCTTGGGCCACGAAAAGCCGTACTGGCGCATAAGAGGGGCACAACCTTCCCTTGCTTTCTGGCAAAGCGATCGACATGGGGGAATTTCTTTCCTATAGTTCGGCTGACATATAGGAGTATAAATGGAGCACAGAAAGAGCTTCAGGTCTGCCGAACACTTGATCTCGACTAGCGGCCAGAATTGATGAACTTCAAGCGCCGCCTCTTCCTGTGTGTCGTGGTTGAACATGTTTGGCATGTAGGTGAAGTTGTAGCCGATGCCCTGACACAAAGGTACTTTGATCTTCTCACATTTCTTAAATGGGGTTGTTTTCTTTAGAGGAACAGGCTCTAAAGGATGAGTTGTCTTTGACGTTCCGTTCGCTACAATTCCATTTCCTTCCATGCACGGTTCATCGCCACCGTGTTCAGGAAACGTTTTGCATCTCATGCGTTTGGGCCAAGAAAAGCCATACTGACGCATTAAACGTGCACAACCATCTCTTACCCTTTCACAAATCGAACGACATGGTGGAACTCTTTTTTTGACGTTTGCCTGGCAGTTTGGAGCAAACATGGAACAGAGGAAGAGCTTCAGGTCCGCCGAACACTTGATCTCTACAAACGGCCAAAATTGATGAACTTCAAGCGCTGCCTCTTCCTGCGTGTCGTGGTTGAACATGTTTGGCATGGAAGTGAAGTTGTAGCCAATGCCTTGGCACAATGGTATTTTGATCTTCTCACATTTTCCTATTTTACCAGAAACGCAGGCGAGCGCACTCAAAAGCAGCAAGGTCGTGAAAACAACGCACTGAATTTCAGCCATTGCAATGGTTACTGCGAGAGTGTTGTCGATATCTGACTCAAGCCCTTTATATACGTAATTCTTGTCAAAATCGTGATAAAATGTTTATCTCAGCTTAAGGTTTCGTTAACCAGTCAATGGCAATGACCTTGTCTGGACTGTACAACTGATACGATTAGCTAAACGAGATTTACCGAAAACAGTGGATTTGATTACTGAGCTTTATACATTTGCGCAAATCTTTATTGGTTACAATTTGTTTCAATTAGGTTTGCCTTAAAGTGAGATAGAACCCCACCAAACGTCTGTAAAAAATCTTTTTGTCGAGAAAAATGCAACGCAACTTTAATCAGTTTAGCCCTAATTTCTTGTAGATTAGTCTTTTCATGTCAACAAAGATCTAGCGTCCATTAATCATTATGGCTTTTGATCAATCTCCGGCAAAGTTTTCTCTGCCATTTCCCCAAGTTCGAAAACGTTTTCATGAGCAAGACAACAAAATCAGCTCGAGACTGATATCTTTGTGATCGCTAACAATTTCTGTTTCTTTTCTGTTTCTTTATTTCTCATTCACTTGGTGTGGGTTGATCTCGATTCCTTACTTAAAGTTTGTGGAATTATGAAAGCAAAATCGACCGGCATGAGCTTAAAGTTTTTAACACACACCCATAGTGACAGTTTTAAAGTTTAAGCATGTAAAGAATCTGAAATTCTACCTCGATGGCATTTAAAATGAGGAATTAGCGAAGGAAATAGGTTAACCAATTCTTGAATAGGAAATCATCTGTTGCGGTTCTTTTGTGTCTACTCTAATCTAACGGGAAACGTTATGTTTTTTGATACTAAACATTTTTATTCATTCATCGAAAGTGGGTACCAAAAATATAACTTAGACTGATCTGGGCTTTACACTAGAATATAACTCTTTTTATCCTCCAGTTGGTTTACATTTTCGTGGACACGAAAGAGGCCCATACAGAGCTGGAAGGTTTTTGCTTTTCAAGAAAACTGAAGTGGACACAGCATGTAAATTATTTTACTATCAAGTTACATCAGGATACAGAGAAAATTGCGTGAGCTGAAAGGATTACAGGTGGAAGATGATCACCGCCTGCATAAGAGGCTCGTCGCGTGAAAAGTATACCTTCTTTGTTTTCGTCCTTGCCCTTGTCAAGCTATGTTTTAAAAATATTTTCAAGGACAGAAAAAAAAAAGCAAAATAAGTGGGCTGATGAATTTTAAGTGAAGGATTTCTTCTACTCAAGCAGGGACTTAAGAGACATTCATGTACGTAATCAACATTTTCAAGGACTCTTCATCCATCTTGATGGTCTTGCCTTGTATTAACAATACCTAAAACTTCGGGAGATAGCGCTACGTCTGATTCAATAGCTTTCTAAGCAACATAAGCGGATATAAATGTTGTAGTGCTTGAAAATTTAGGAGATTAACATTTGGATCTTGAGCAAATGAAAACCTTTCTACACCGCTTAGGGCATCGGATACACTGCCCTTAAATGAGAATTTCACTCAGTCAAAAGAAAGCGACGTTTATTCAGGATAAAAAGAACAACAATAAAAGAAGACAAATAATAAAACCAAAATAGCCAAAAACAACGAAAAAAATTAAAACAACAGGAAAAAAAATTACGGGCTCATTACAATGCATTTAACTTCAACTCCCTCCAAATCAATCTCCAAAATGGGAGTCACTGGAGCTTTCAACATGCTGCTGTTCTAGAAAATATTTGTAGATGATCCTCTGTGTAACGGCTACCACGATTTTGCCACCGGACATTGATTCGTTTTAGTTTGTTTCGTGTTAAACGTGTCAAACCGCAATAGTGACGTTACTGTTTGTCCATTAGGGACGTGATCTTTAAGTTCCACCCAGAACCGCATTTTAGTTAGTTATCTTGCGTTGGGCTAACGATAAGACGTGTTTATCGAAAAGCGCCCTTTTGCCCACCTTATCTCGAAGTTCGTTTTGGTCAAACTCCTACAAGCGGGACTGTTATTTTACGATAAGTACTTGGATACCTCGTTTTACGCTAATAAAACGATTCAAGTCTTTTCCGTAAAATATATCCTCGCTTCATAGTGCGTCTTCATTAGCGAAACTCATAGTTGTCGTTGAAATTTGCTTCGCTTGTGTCGGCCGCTACGCTCTGTAACTGATGTCAAAGACTTAACGAAGAAGATCTTGGCATAAACGCAGCCATTGATTAAACACCGCATCGGAAACGAAAAAAAAAGCCAAAACACCATTAAACACCGCAACGTTTATTGGAGTTAATACGGTAATTATGCCTCTCAGAGAGATAACCTTTAGATTCAATTTAATTACAATTAAAGATTTAAGTCAAGTTAAAGTACGTTATAAGCATATCTTTTCTACGTGATTTTTGGTAAGTATTCCAGTTTTTTTGTTCAAAACATTTTAGTGATTAATTTCTGAGAGTGAAACAGATAGAATGGTTGTTTCATGCAGGTGCCGTATTAATTCGCTGTGACACCGTAGCGTTTATCAAATATTTGGTATTTCCGATGCGACCTTCATCAAAGGCGGTTTGGGTTTTATTTTTTCTTAAAAAGGAAATCATATGTACACGTGTGATCAAAAGGCCCGAGGTTAAAATTCCAGCTTGTTCAGGCTCAATCACAAATCGTCGTCAAGCCTCTAAAACGTGCAAGGCTCCGAAATGTGATAACACGTTTTTCGCATGCAAGCTCAAGAACTAAACAAAAAAATAGAGGAAACAATGTGCGAATGGGACCATACTTTTGAAATGCTTCTCAAACGCTTTTCTCGTGTATTTCACATTTATATCAAATTTACAAGGAAAAGCTGAGGTCACGCTCTCTCGTGCACTTTCTGCAGTTGTTTAAAATGAATTTGCGGATCCTTATTGCGTACCTCGATGTGAATCCTTCGAAACTCGTTATGGTGAGCTAGTGGCTTAGTGCTAGAGCAAAGAGGTCTGAAGTTCCATTCCTCAAGAGGGGCTCGTAAATTTTCCTGTTTCCCATGCTCGTGACGTGACCAAAAACATTTCTCTAATTCATTACCGAGCACAAAAGTTAATCCCATTTCTCATTCTATTAATTTGATAGCACTTAAATGAAAGATTGAAGCCAATTGAAAACAAATACGCTCTAAATCCCGCCCTTTCTGTATATATTTTACAAGATAATAACAAATTTCCCGGATGCTCCTCTTTCGAAAATTTCTCGCGTAAATTATTGAGTAAAGGACCATTTGAATATCGGAATTGCAGGGGAAGACAAGGAAAATAAACACATTGACCTCACCTTTTAATTAGTTTTGGTTTGGTAGAAAAATCTGGGTGGTAAGTCTTTTTTCAAAGGAGTTAGTTTACTGTCAGTTTATCTGCAATAGTCGATTCACCATTCACCCGCAAGTTCAGTAAAACGTGATTTTTTTGTTAATCTGATCGGCAATGTTGTGTTTGACGAAGATATCTCTTTGTGTTCCATATGCGTTTGATCTGTGGAAGCGACGCACTCAGCTGTGCCTCGTGTGCCACTGTTTTGTTCTCACCACATTTTGACGTCATATGTGACTTATTATTAGTCAGACCCTTGGAAACATGGAATCTCTTTAATTATTGCATTTTTTACTTAGAAAACACAAGAATAATACAACTACTCACTGTATGTTACATATACAATCAGGTGGACAGCCTATAACTACTATTACTTACAATTAAATCTTTTGCTTTCAATACGTTTAAAATACTTCGACTACCCATTAATACTTACGTCGACTACCGATGAATACTTATGACTGCTCACGAAGAAATTTTCGCAATACATGACTCTACTTCATAAAATTACACTATTCATTATGCTAACTACTTTCCCAAAGATGCCAATCAAAAATATTTCAAAAAGAAACATGCGCTATTATAGATATGACCGCGCATAGCAACATTGGAAGATGACTTTTGACTGTAACTCAACCTCCAAAACTGGAAGTGATAACAAGATGAAATACATTACAACTCCATAGCGGATTAAATGTGAACCTCAAAAATTGAGGTTGTTAAGTATTCATATATTCAGGCTATTGTTCTTTCTCATTACTTATTCATTGCGATGAGTTTGCCGACATGCCGGCATGCTTCCGAAGATCGTGAAGAGCGCAACTTCTTTGATGTAATATTTACATAATAAAGAAGTAGTTTAATTCAAGTGCAATCATTCGGATCAAAACAAAACGATCGGCGCTCGAAATGATAAACTATTTTCGCTTTTGCTCTTCGCAGTGATTACAACAACTCGTCCAAGATCCATTTTTAAATCTTTTGCGACGCTCTTTAATCCTAAAAACATATTAAGGCTAAAAATACACCGTGAATAGAAACTAAATCCATTCAAATGATTGCAGTTAATCGATCTCGAGTTCATTCATCTCAAGACAATGCAAACAAAAGGATACAAGATCACAAGTCTGTTCGCGCAAGGTAGCTTAATTACACTATTGTCCAAGTCTTTTGAAGTACCTTCCGCAGTTCCTTTGGTCTTCTTCCAAAATATCTCACCTTTTTCGAAACGAATAAAACCGACACGTTTTCGGCAGCCACCGAAAGCAATGCCCAAAGGAATAAACCGAGCCTTCGAGGTAAAAAATCCAGCGGTGTCACCCATTTCAGAAAGTCACATTTAATCCGCTATGGAGTTGTAAATTGTGAAGAATGGTAGTACCATTCTTCACAATTTTCCCGCGAGGTTGGTGCGTTTGGAAATTTTTTGCTGCAGAGTTATTATCGATGCACTATTACGTAACATTGCGTTCCGATCTATGCGTAGTATGTTGGGGTTAGCTTTGGGAAAATGTCTGCATCTCATCGTTTTGGGCCATCGAAAGCCATACTGGCACATAATAGGGGCACAGCCCCTTTTCCCTTGAGTAAAAAGGGAGTGACAAGGAGAAATTTGGTCTGTGACATTTGGTTGACAGGTGGGAGCACAAATGGAGCAGAGAAAGAGCCTCAGGACTGGGGAGCACTGGTTGCTGATGAGCGGAAGGAATTGATAAGCTTGACGCACTGCTTCTTTTTTTACGTCATGTTTAGCATGTAAGTGAAGTTGTAGCCAACATCTTCACACAGAGGTATTTTTTATCCTTTCACATTTCTTTTCTGCGGTTTTATTCGTTGAAAGAACAGCCACCCGTCATCCTCTCACATTTGTTAACTGGGGTTATTTCCGTTGGAAGAATAGGCACCGAGGAATGAGGTGTCGTTGACGTTCCATTCGCTACAATTCCGTTTCCTTTCATGCACAGTTTATCGCCGACGAGTTAAGGAAACGATGTGCGTCTTATGCGTTTAGGCTACGAAAAGCCATGCTGACGCATTAGAGGCATACAACCATCTCCTACCCGTTCACAAATCGACCAACGTGGTGGAGCTTCTTTTTGTACGTTTGGCTGGCAGGTAGGGGCATACATAAAAACAGAGGCAGAGCTTCAGGTCCGCCGAACAATTTTGATTGGTTCTTTCTCATGATCTCTAGGAAAACGGACGCATAGATCACGTCACCATCAACAAGATTTTCCTTCTTCAATAATAAATAATAATTGGTCTAACCACATTTTGACATCGTTTGTTATTTATTACTGCGCATACGCATAGCAACATGGAATCTATTTGTTAATTTCATCATTATACGAAGAAGCAGAACGGCTGTCTTGAATATGACCTTTTTGTTCTGATTCCGGTATGATATGAATGCATTCATACATTATTTCTAAGGTCTGCTGTTCTTTTTTTGAAACCATTAAGGGTGTGATATTCCATCTGATATGTTTGATCGATCGCAAGACCTGTGTTTTGGTTTCGTGACTTCGGCTGCAAAGTCAACGATCTTCAGTGCATGACTATCAACCACAATAAGCACTCTGTATGGGTTCAACTTTGGACATTGGAGGGGGAAGTTAGCCTCAGTTGACAGATGAAGGTATGAACAATGATCCCTCAAACGCGTGTACACCAGTGTAAGCTGTTGTTGAACTTTTAATGATAATGTCTACCTACTTCTTGACAACTAGACAAATAACAAATATCTTAGTGATAAAAATCCACTTTTCAGTATGGTTTCTATTTAAAAGATCCTCCGCTTAAACCATCTGAAGAAATTGTTCATTCTTCCTTTTCACCTTTCATACTAAAGTATGCACAACTTTTCACTGAAGAGAACTTCTGTTTAAGATTTTATGTTGCTGATAACAATGCTTGAACAGTAACAAGTTACAGACAAAACTAGCATTAAAGCCTGAAATATGCTATTGGCTTTCTTAAAAATCCACTTGTAGCCTATTTCTTTTATTTAGAACTCTAAAAATAGAAAAAGAGAAGAGCAAATTGAGAGATCATAATAAACTGTGCTGGAATAAACAGCTCTCATGTAACCCAGTGTTGCCTGTATACACTTTCATATTTGATTGACAAACCAACACAGGCTAAGGCCCTTTCAGCCAGAAGTCACTAGTTTTCTATCAAGGATGTCAAAATGCATATGCAGTTTGCAAATCTATGCCAGCTGACTCCCCTTCAACTCAGTGACTGAAAACAGTAATTTCTTTCAATTTATCTTAAGATTGTAGGTCCATTGGAACACATACATGCAAAAGGACATAATATGAACAAAAATCAAACAGTTTAAGAAACAGCCATAAAATTTTAAGACACTTACAACCTGGCCACTGGTGTTTTTTATCACAGAGTGGGACATAGATGACACCCATCAGATTCTTCTTCATAATTTGGCCATCCTCAAGTTTATCATGCTGTTCAAGAACCTGATTCCGCCCTTCTGCTCCCACAGGACAAATAAGACGACCTCCTGGTTTAAGCTGCTCTAGAAGCTTGGGGTAAAAAAATGTATATATATATCAAAATAAATGAATATCATTCACTAAAAGTTAATTTATTTCAAAGAATGCTGTGTAATGCTGTGCGTTAGTTGTCTACTTGATATTGTATTGATATTGCTAAGAAAAATTCTGTCTTGGTCACAAAGGGAGTTAAAGGGTCGAGGAAACTACTGTAAATGTGGTATACAAATCACATATCCACATTTACCAAAGAGGGGTTCATGTTAAATTTAAGATTTAAGTTTAACTTCTACTCACAGCAGATGGTAATTCTGCTGCAGCTGCTCCCACATGTATTGCATCGAAGGGTTGCCCAGGTTCATAACCTTTGCGCCCATCACCAGCTGCAGTAAATGGAACAAATGCAATTTTCAATTGGGGTGACATGCAGCCTTCAGCAACTGTGGATTTGGATACATTTTTCTACAGCCACACTCATGCAAGAAAATGAAACACTTACAGACAATTTTGACTCTGCCCTTTTCAAGAAGTTCAGGATTCCCTCTTTTAATATTAGCCAAAGAATCTTTGACAAGCTGATCAATATGATCAATTCCATAAACCTTTCCACTTTCTCCAACCTGAAGTTTCAAAGGATTGAGGCCACTAGTTTCTCAGTTGAATAACTGTTAAGTGATACTCTTGTCAAATAAAGTTGATTTACTTATTTAAAAAATGGGAAGGAATGAGATCTAACCTAGGGCCAACACCGACATATCAGCTTTAGAACCTCCTTATGGAGGAAAATTTACATTATTAACTGAGTTGATTAAACCAAGTTGTCTTGTTGTCTCTATTGCCAATTTAATACCACAGTCACAGTTCTAGAGTACTGATACAATAATGATAGTGATACAGATAATAATGGAGTTAATGTTTCACAAATAGATAAAAATGATGGACAATAGTAAATTCTCAATTTCTTGCTATACATGAGCATGTTAATACTAATTGGTACTCACCATATAAGCCATAGCAGCTGTGAGATAGCCACTCCCTGAACCAACATCTAAAGCACAAGCACCCTCTTTGAGATGACCCTCAAGTTGTTGTAGTGCATACACATGCTGTAACAACATTACATGTAACTTGCAGTAAGTAGAAATATCAGTAACCGAACCTAGCTCTGATTTTGTCTGGCTGGTAACTATCAGTTGATTTAAAAACACTAGATACCCAAGAAGTAGCTATCTCATTTAATGATCATGACTATCTATACACCTTTTTCACAAAATTACATAAATTTCTGATCATTGTTCTTACATATATGTTATTATTGATCACTCGGAAATCAAAGGAAGCAAAATTTGAAACAAAGCCATGATGATTGCTGATCATTTTGGAATAATATTGTATCATTACAGACAAAACTGAACTTCCTACTACTATGCCAGTGATAAATCAAACTGTAAGATCATTTATGGAAGAAAAAAAAACATCAGTAAATAGAACATTACAGTTGATAGTCCAATTTAACAGTCTTCCAAGTGTTCAAATTCAGGCTGTTGATAGCTTATCTCAAATGATTTAGTTTGAGGTTTGAATTCAGACACTTTACCAGTGTTAAAGTCTGGTTTACTTGATTGATATAGACCCACATTGTTACAATGCCTTAACCAAATTTCAACAGGTGGATGGGTTACCATATTCTCCTATTTATGTTGCAGAGTGCACTGCAGGCTCTGGTATTACTATTTTATTCACACACTATTTACCATGTGTGGTGCACTAATTGTTGCTTGATAACCTACAAAACAAGAGCAAAATGAGTCATACAGTCAACGTTAAATTTTTCATTTTCTGATCAAGAAGGGTTCAGAATCCAACCCCTTTGTGTATGTATTTATTTTTCTACGCTAACTCTCTCTCTTTCTGTCTCTCTAGTTGTGTAAAACGAATGCAATCTAGCAAACTGTTGGAAAATCTATCCAACTCGTCACGTAAAACACAACATAAACAAATGATTTCCACAGGTTTCACTACTCTATTTGCGTCGTTACAAATACGTTGAAAATCAGAATTCATAAACACATCTCTTTTCAGTCGATTAACGTGGCAAATAATCATACCAACCTATTGGTTGTGGAGAATCTTCAAATGCTCGATTTCGACAATAATGTTTCCTGTCAACTCGTCTCAGAGCCTCTTCGACCCTTTTGCTTTTCAACACTTCATGGACTAAAATCAAGGGAAGAAAAAAAGTTAAATTCAACACCAAGCAAGATAAATCATATATCTCCGTACTTTTGAGCTGATCGAGCAGGTCACTGTTACTTTCGCCGTGCGATCTCCACGCCATGTTCCTCAAAATTTTAAGTTTACTTCTTGAAACTCCCATCCGCCATAACAGTTAAGATGTGCTGCGCACAAACATTTGGTTTGGACTGCTGACATGCGTGACGCCGTAATGTGGTCAACAACGTGGTCGAATCAGCCAACAGCGCAAACATCTAAGTGGTAGCAATCGAAAGGAAAATTATTCATAAACACAGCATCTGAACTAGATATATCAATAGGAAACATCGGTATTCTTTTAAGAGCCTTCCAAAGCGTCTCACTTCAATTGCCATTTGAAAGTAAAATACCTCTAGCTCAAGTTTTTTCGCCCTTCGCCACGATCTCATCCCAGATCTCTATTGTTGCGGAGGTGGGAATGAGTCTGCTCGCACACTGGAGAAGATTTTTTGTTTCAGGAACTAGAACAAAAATTGATTTAAATGACATGGAAAAAGGTGAGGCTTAATTTACAAAGGAGGTGAACAAAATGAAAAATACAATTTCTTGGCGTGACCAAATGACGTGACACATCGTTTGTGACACGAATGATTTGCAGGAGTGGACAAAACGCTGGGCGGGTTTTAAAATTATTTTGAACAATTACCGTTTGATACTTACTAGTCATAGTCATTGGCCAATACTGGGAAATGGCTGTTACTTGACTCTGTGACATTGCATAGTTAAGTACCTATCAATTTTAAGCTTGAGGGGGAGAGGAGACCCTAGGTATTTGTCTTTGTAGTTCAACTTCTGGTCAACTTCCCTCGGGCCTGAAAAATAGGTGAAATCCGATCATATTTCCTCACTGTGACATAAAAAAGCTATGGAAGAAGCTGCCTCAATAAGCGTAGTCTTTCACTGATGTAAAAATTGAGTTTCTTAAATATTGTGACTTTAAACTTTCTTGAGTGATTTCATTAGATTTTATGTTGGAGACTATGACTTGGGTGAATTTTTTCAGGAAAAGATTGTTCTCCTTGTAGCATGCTGATGACCCTTCCCTATAAACCAACTTTACTCATGCAAATGATTTGAACATTTTTTTGACAAGAGATTAGACTTTCAGGAAATCCAAGAAGTGAAATGATAACAACAAAAACCTTTTCAAGATCAACTTGAGAGCCACAGTAGAATCCCTATTTCTTTAAAGAGCCTCCTGTTTTCTTGAAACTGCCAACACACACACACCTATGCAAAACAAAACAAAGTTAACATCTTCTTGATGAGCAGTTCCAACTCAGATCCCACATTCTTTGTGCTGACTTTTTCTATCAGGAAAGGAAGCTTGGAACTACCAGGCCTCTCTCTTTTTTTATTTAAAAATTTTTAGTTGGGTCAGTTTTAATTCCCATGTTTCTGTGCAGTCTTTCTATCATATTGGCAAGTTTTCATCAGTCTTTTTTCCTTTAACCCTTTAACTCCCAGGATCTTATTAGTAATTCTTCTCACGGTCTGTCTCACAGTTCTTGTGATGTTAGTTTGGAGAATTTGGTACTGGATCAGCCTATGATCCCCTGATTGATATTTATTCTTTATTCTTATTACTTGTCTGCATATATTGTATTGATATTGTAAGGAGAAATTCTGTCTTGGTCACTTGTCTCCTACTTTACTTTACATGTAGTGTCGGAGACAAATTCTCCTGATTGTCAGTGGACCGGACTCTGCTTCAAGAGGTGTGGGTTCAAGACCTGGCGGATCAATGTGTTGTGTTCTTGAACTAGACAGTTTACTCTCTTGGTGCCTCTCTCTACCCAGGAGTTGAAATCGGGAACTGGCAAATTGTCAGGGAAGCCTGATGAAATGCCAGGGGGAGGGGGAGGAGGGGTAACCTTGTGATGAACTAACATCCCATTCAGTAGGGAGTGGTAATACTCCTTGATACTTTACGCTACATGAAACAAGTACAAACTCTGGCTGTGTGGGCCAATAGGCTCAAATACTGACTTTATCTTACTTACATGTATGTGTAGAAGGTGTACAATTATTTTAGTTAAGATGGAGGAAAGCACTTGTGTGAAAGTTTAATTGCATTGGTGGTTTGTTTTCAGCAGGTTTGTTTGTATTACGATGTTTTGGAGACATGTCTGATCAATCATACTGGAACAACTTTTATGCCAGCCGTCAAGGTAACAAACACTTTGATTGGTTTGTGCGTTTTGAAGATTCCGTTGAAGTTCTTAAGCCTTACCTACCCCTTGTCAGTCACAGTTTTGTCACAAGAATCTTGGAGATTGGTTGCGGAACCTCAGATTTCAGCTTGAAGCTCTTTGAACACTTAAATCGTGACTGTCGCATTGATTGCATCGACTTTTCACATGAAGCGATAAAAACTTTAAGAAAAATTGTTGAAGAACGTGGCTTAGTTGCAAAGGAGATTGTCGAGACAGAGGGAAAACTGGAATCTAGTCTTGATTTGACTGGCCTGGCATGCCATCAAGCTGATGCAAAAAATATGCCTTTCGCGGATGAAACATTTTCTTTGGCTCTAGATAAGGGTACTTCCGATGCAGTTCTAAAAGGACCTAAAGGAGAGGGCGCATTTGCAGAAGTGTTACGTGAGTGTTTGCGTGTCTTGAAACCCTGTGGAAAGCTGATTCAGTTCTCGGATGAACCACCGGAACTGCGTTTGGACGCATTGGAAAAATTAAAAAATGACTTAGCTCAATCGCACTCTACAGCGCTTAACTCTTTGACGTTACGTTTGTCCTGGCGAGAACTGGACACACGTTCAAGCTTTCAGCATTATTTGTATGTCGTCCACAAAAAGGGTGTTGGCATGGATAAAATTTAAGTTTTAGAGTTATTTTCAACTGATTGTGGAAAGTAATAATTTATTGCTTTGGGTTTGCTTAGCTTTGCTTAGCTTTGCTCCCTGATTGGCCCAAAAAACTCGCATCACCTTCTCAACCAATCAGATTAAAAAATTAAACCAATCGTGACTTGGACACTCGCGTTTCCCGTCTTTTATGCAGTTTGCCTTTTTTTTTTTTTTTTTTTTAGTTTTTCTTTGCTAACTGTGATGTCGACCTTGGCTCCGATAGGGTAATTAAGTATTATCAACTGAGTTGATAACGTAAATTGGCCATTCTAAAGAGTTTTAAAGCTGACGTTTCGAGCGTCAGCCCATCGCTGGAGCGAATGGACGAAAGTTATTGAGTTCCTTATTGGCACAGACGTACTTGATACATGGAAAACGAATTGAATTTTCCATTTTGTTTTACTTCTCTTAACATCAGAGGCCAACGGCTGAAGACGTACTGTATTTGTAATGGAAAACAGTTGTTTCTTACTTTACTTTGCCTTCGCTCGTGACAGATGAATTTCACATCCTTCTTTACGGAATTTCCTATTTGATTTCGTTCTTTTAAAAGTTGTCAAGTTTTGAAACGAAATGAAAGAAAAATCTCTTCAGAATATTTTCAAAGTTAAGTGAGTCCATCTGGTTCATAATTTGACTCCTTCCAAGTTTTTTGTAATCATAGGGCGCGGTGATTTCCTGGAAGACGTCACAAACTTTAGGAATGTAACGATTTACGCTTAAATGGAAAGGGAAGAGAGAGAAAAAACTGAGGTGAGTAGAATTTTCATGATTCGTTATGGTGATCTTGTTTAAAATTTTAAAGTAAGTAGACAAAGCTAAGCATAATAGCTCTCTCGTTGAATAATCTCGTTCGTCTTGGTTGGTGATTTCCAGGCGAGTCACTTTACTATCACTGCCATAAGGTACGATTGGGTACAGATGAATTCCCGAGACAACCAAACAAAATGCGGAGGCGCTGGTTCTGTGCAATGGATAAGCATTCCAGCTAGGGGGCGGAGCAGGGGTTAGCCGAAAACATCGCTAATACAGCATGAAAATTGGCAGAATCTTGAATCTCGTGATCTTTTCACAAATTGTTATATTAGCATCGCGCTTGGCAAAATATGATGTAAAACTATCTCTTGAACGGCTCCGGCCTGTGTTCGCTTATCAATTGCAGCAATTCTTCATGAAACTAGACCACGTGTCTAGGTAGTTATATAAGAGTCAATGTTGTCTGTGGGAACCAATGGAATGCTGAGCTGAACGATTTTAGACTATGCCAAAAAAATGAAAGTCACAATTCGACCACGGACACGCGCGAAAATTTGAGGATTGCAAAAATGTTTGCCTGTTCCAACGAACAACGCAAAGATTATTTTGAGTAGGGGTATGCGCACATGGCTGGGTGAAAGCCAAGACCCCCACCCCCTCGCGTTTTAAAAACGCTCCGCCGCCTCTGAGTCAGTACAAAGGTACATTGAAAATAAAGTTAGAAGTCGACTCTTTTTCGACAGATCAAATGGCTAATAGTTAAAGATGAACAGGTTCCACTATGCCTGCGAACCTGAAGACCCCTTGAGGTTTCTCAATTTGAAGCTATCAAGAGTGAAGCTATCAATATATTATTAATTGAAGCACAGCGAGAAATGACAACATTATATCAGTCTGATTACCATGTAACAGCTCTTGACTAGAAAGCATGGAAAAACATTACGTCAAACAGATCAAGCTTTGCGCCCACGCACGGTTCATCGACCGGAAAGCCTCGGCTCGGACTCTGAGTTCTTGTCATATGACTAAAGAGTGCTTTGCACGTGTATTCGACGTGAAGATCGGACCAACCCATATTAAGCAGTTCTATATAGCAACAAGGACAACGATCAGTATGACCGCGTGAATGAAGCACAGATTGCACGTGCTTCCCATATGTAGCGAGTTCTTTGCAAGTATGTGGGTAAACGAGATTTTTATCCGAAATATTTGTTTTACCCTTTAGGCTAAAAGAGGAACTTTTTTCACAAGGATTATCATTTCACATCGTAGCGCTTTTACTGAGTCTTGGTGACACTAAATTTGAGGTAGTTAGCATTGAAATATCCAGGGGTTTCTTCCCCTTGTTAAACGCTTCTTCTTCCTTCCTTCCTAGCTTCTTTCCTTCACACCTTCCTTCCCCTTCTAACTTGGGAGAGAGTAACCCGGGAGTTTTCGTCTTGCTTTTCGCAACCAATCGGTGTTTTGTAAAAAGAACTCGGGACATGTTCATACAAACTTGGTTAGAGGGAAAATTTTGATTTCTTCCAATGGGATATGGATTGCAGCCCCGTTAATGTCCATAACATAAATTTTAGTTAGAGTATATCGTGATGAACGAGTCGCAATTTTCAAGTATTATCTCGGCAACCGACACGAAATGTTCATATGCGAACATTACCAGCCCCATTAATGAGATCTCAGGGCCAAAAACTCTAATGTCTCGCTAACCGGGTTTGCTTGCCCCTTATGTAAACGTTTTGCTCAAAGATATGACGAAACCAACAATGGTGAATAAAGAATGGAGTCCTCCTTGAGATTTCCGAAACACCGCCGGTGTGGTTAATCTTGGCACTTAGATTTGACCAAAATATTTACGCAGAGCCTAACTTTTATCTTTCTGGCTAATACTAGTTCAATCCATGTTTCCGCTGTGCTCTTTGAGATATGATGACTGTCCGTATTAATCGATAAAAAAACATATATTTTAAAAATCACAAAATTGTCTGTGTTTCCTTAAGGTTGTATACATTTGGAGACTTATCCCAAACTGACATGGTGAAAAGCTTGTTTCTAAGTATAGGTTGATAGCTACTTGTAGAGAGAAGACAAAAATACTTTTATGAGAAACGGTATTAGAAGTGATATATTTTTGAAGAAAGTTCTGATTAAACAAACAGACTGAGCTTTTTCCTTACCTTGCCCCACTTGTCTCCACTCAGCTGTAAGCGGATAAAATCCCACGAACGATAAGTAGAAAATTTTTTTAGTCTAAACTGAAGCTTTTACTTTCCATTACAATTACAGAGTTGGAGTAAATCTATCAATTCTTTCAAGGGAAACTTTTTATCGGCCATGTTAAGTCAGAATCCATGTTAGAAAACAAAATCCGAGGCATTTTGGGAATTTTCAGTGGTCAAACCGATATTGAACCTTGAGTTTTACGAAGAAAAATTGAAGGAATCAAGTTTAAGAGGCTTAAAATTTGGAAATGTGGCTTAAAGATGAATTAAAGAGTTTCCATAACCTTCTTCACGGTTGCATTGATGTTAAACTCTTTCTTGCGATCGTGATGTAGGTTGTGAAGTTTTCTTCCCATAAAATTTCTTGAGGGGATGGTTCTTATCATCAGAAGAGCTTTTCAGACTCTGATTTTTTTACATTTTAGATTTTCTGAGTGTTTATTTCGAATTTTTCTCCCATGTCTAATTAGCAAAATGAATTACTCTTTATATTTATTTAGTCGATGTTTTGAAGTCTGCGTGAAGGAGGAGGAAATCTTCCAGAATAGTGGCTTCTATGACAGTATTTACGAGTACAATGCTAAGATCTCTACGGTTACCGTTCATTTTGTGCTTTTTCTAATGTTTTTGAGCCAAGGTGTCGAAGATTGCTGATCACCATGACTAGGGAAATTCTTTGAAAAACATTTATTGATCACATCCCAAACCTCATTGGTGGAGCAAGGGAGCAATAGGAGTTAAATTTACTTTAGCAAAAACCATCAACACCATTACAGGCCGTACGATTTCAGCCCCCGAACTAGGCCTAAGGAAATTCAAACTAAAAACCAAAAAAAGATAGAGAAAAGAACATTTCTTACTCAAGGGGGCACAACAAAAAGAAAATATTCATTAGAGAATGCGTGAAAAACAGCGATTTCGCCCGGTGACTTTCTTCAAATTCCTAGCTTTATTTCTCGCAGTTGGACTTGCGGATGGATTAAGGTAAACGTGTTTGTGTTTCAGAAAAAAAACGGTTTGTCAAGTTTGAAACTAAATTTGCCAGAGATTAGCTCAGGAGAATTACAGCTAGTTAAGACGGTGAGACATATCAGAGTTCTCTTGAAAAAATTGTATCAGAGGAAGGTGCGAACCCGAGAGAGTACAGATGAAGAAAACAAATTGGAATCAGCAGTTTAAATCTTTAAAAGGCAGCGGAAATACTTTTAGCTTTGCCATTAACCTCCATTAGTTTTAATTTTAGAAAAGAATTTCGAGCCTTATATTTTCAGTTTATGCGTTCTGACTTATATACTGCGGCAAAGAAGATTTTCTGGTCGGGTTTTCGGGAATTTTATATTTTTAATACTGCAATATTTTAAGAATTAATTGGAACGATCAAAAAGAGGCTTTAACATCTCATCTTATGGGTGGCCTCCTCTGTGAATGGTTGTGGCCTCCTCTGTGAATGGTTGCGCACTAAAACATAACGTCAACGAATTAATGAACGTCTTTTATGTTCTCTTCACCAATAAGCTGGAAAATAAAAGCTTTTTCAAAAGGAACAAGCGGGACAATTATGGAGGATTATCAGAAAAATAATGAAATATTTTCCGTTTATTATATGTGTCCAAATTGCTTAATTTTGACACAAAACGTAGGGGCATCCATATGGTTTGGTTTACTATGTATTTAAAACCCAAGTTCTAGTTGGGTGATCTTTGAGAGAAAAAGATATACTTTGTCATGTAACCATCACGAATGGAATTTATCTTTACATTATAGAGATGATTTGCCACAAACTTATGAAGCCGAAGTAGACAATCTTGCCGCCTTGGAGAGAAATCAAAGATCGTTCCGATGTAAGTAACTCTCTTCACTTTCTTTATGTCCTCGTGAACCAATTTCATCATTTTTAAAAATCTTTGAATTTGTGTTATGCAACTCTAAAAGCTCCTGGCGAGGGTTTTCTCATGCCAGGGTTTGCTTGATTTAGAAATGCCGTATTTCCCACACCTTTCAGCAATGTTTTCACAAAATATTACGCATTCTTCAGCGAAAATTGTACGAATTAACTGAATTACAGGAAAAATTAAACAAAAGATTGACTTCTTCGATTTTCCTAAAACAAAAAAAAAATTAAAAAACCAAGTTTATGCATGTTTATGCGTGTGATTTTTGATGGATTCTTAACACTCAAATGGTGTCGAAAATGTGTGAAGAGGGACGTTAAGACACCCATTTTAATAGAAATTTTTTAATGGGGTCATCTTTCACGAAAACGAATTTCCACTTCCCAGAAGCAAATCCCACGATTACTTTCATTTGTAACCCAATTCTAGAGTCAAGTTTTATCCAAATTAAACTATTTAGCTTGAAATATTTACTATCCTGAATTCACGGTTGATTTTCGATTGGTTATTTTGGAAAGGTAAATGAAATCATAAAATTGAAAATTAAATTTTTTCTTTTGTGGTAACGCGAGCATAGCAACCCAAGTCTTCTTGGTTGCCATTGGCTTTTTGACGTCAGAGATTTAAACCATGTGATTATAGAACTAATTTTTGGGAGAGGAGAATCTTCCCGAAATCGATCACGGTTTAACGTTCATTCTTCATCAAAATGCTTTAGTAGGTTTTTAGATGAATAAAAATAAAAGTAAACAATTTAGTAGAAGTTCACTTTTTTGTACACCAAGCCCAAAAAAAAGAAAAAAAAACAGTCTCCTAAAAGGTAATTATAAAACCATTTCATGAATCTCAAGCTCTTTTGGAAATGAACTCTAATTTTAACCACGCCATAAAATTTTCCCCTCAGTCTAAGATTCTACAAGATCCATCGTCATTTTACCAGCGTAAATTCAACTGTAAAATTCGCAGTGAAGCTAATAGTATCAACTTTGCCTTGAAGATGACGTATACGGTCCGGGAAGAAGGTCAAGCTACCAGAATGACGACAGTAATCTTTGCATTCCAATGTGCGCCAACGGCGGAACGTGTGTTAACAAAACGTGCGTCTGTCCTGATGGGTGGCGTGGAAGAAGTTGCAGAGAAGGTGGGTTTGAGTAGGGAGCTTTGTAAAAGTAGCTCACTAAAATTAAGTGTGGAAATCTTAAATGTCCTATTACATCAAAAGTTCCATTCATATTTCGTGAAGTTGCCACCGGAGAAGAGAACGTATGAACGATTATGTAGTAACGTTTAAATGCTCACTATTACGATAAGCAATGATGAAAGTAAAAAATGAAAGAGAGATGATGTTTTTTTCATTGTTTCAGAGGTCTGCTCGCCCGAGTGTTTAAACGGTGGTAGCTGTGAAAATGGAAAGTGCAAATGCCCTTCAGGCTGGGAAGGAGACCGTTGTCAAAATAGTAAGTAAAATATCTTTCAAGAGCTGTAGGACACCGGTATTTCAATAATAGTAATAATAATAATAATAATAATAATAATAATAATAATAATAATAATGATAATAATAACACTTTATTTGCCAAGCACTATTTCTATCACTACCCTGTAGTACTTTACAATGACTGAAATAAACATAAAGTTCTTGCAAATCCCAACTGGCAGGCGTAGACCAGTTGGCTTTTTATACAGTGCAGCCGAGGAGTTGAACTCGGGGCGATCGAGAAGGAATCCAATGAGTCACCAGATTACAAGTCCAGTGCATCAACAATTCGGCCACGCTGCCCCCCCTCCCCACTTAGGAGTGACCAGGAGGAAATTTTTCGTCAACATCAACTGATTACGTTGTCAAACTGACAGCTGATAAACATCTAGAAAGATATTGCTGAATATCAGAATTTCAGAAATAAATCTGGAAAAAATGTTTGGCAGAAATAAGGAAAGTATTTCGATCTTAAGCTGTGAAGAACGTCAGAAGCACTTGCCTTTTATCGAAGGAAAAACTAAGAACAGCTTCCTTTCGTAGCCAGACTCTGTGAAACATGCTCTCAGGTTAAATTTTGGTGTTTACTTCAACCGCGTTCATATAGATGTAGTTATCATGGAAATAACTTTATCTCCTAATCTCCCTTAAGCATCTTGTAGTGGATATTTTTTAGTCGTGTTATTTTTAGTTTTCAGTCGTAATATTTTAAGGTTTTTCTTCAATTAAAATGCATTTTATTTCTTTTGACATCGTAAAGTTTAGTTAAACCAGTTTATAAAGATTCAGTGTAAAACTTCCTTTCACAGTTGCGTGTACGAAGGTCTGTGCAAATGGGGCAGCATGTGTGAACGATACATGTGTTTGTATTAATGGCTGGGCAGGAGAACTTTGTACCAAAGGTAAGACAAAAATTTTTTATTTATTCTTTGCTGATCTTTATTAGAGGAATTTTAAAGGTTTCGTTTTTGATCCCATAACAAACAAACGAGCGAAGAGATGTATGTAAGTGAAAGATGATGTTATTCAGTAAATGACACAGGCATAGTCGCTGAAAAAGAACACTGAGTGCTCCCAATCGGAGTTGAACTTACGACCTTCCGATAAGTACCTCGGATGCTACACCACTGAGCCCTTACGGGACTTGTGGCTGGGTAGGTCGTGTAAGAAGGAAATAAATAAACAAACAAACAAACAAACAAAAAAACAACAAGGGGTGAAACAGACAGGTAGTATGTATATTGGCTTTTAAACTCTTTACGGTGGCCAATTTACGTTATCAACTCAGTTGACAATACCAAATTACTCTGTTATACTCTCCCACCGACGTAGCATTTCAGTTTCTTAAGAAACTTTCCCCCTTTAGGCAATATATTAGATGTTCCACAAGGTGCTTTAACTGTTTTGGAGCACAGAAATTCCAATGCTTCATGTTGTAATTATATTTGTCAACTTTCAACTTCTACTTTTATATTATAAGAGACAACCATTTATGCCTTATGCCTTTCTTTTAGAATTTTAGTTGACTAATTTCTTTGTACGTTGTCACCTGGCAGCTACTTGTATTCCGTACTGTAAGAACGGGGGAACCTGCGGAAGCCAACCAAACAAATGTATTTGCCCAAATGGATATAACGACAAAACTAACTGCGAGTCGTGTAAGTGAAACTTTTATTACAGATGTGAAATCAAAGATTACTTTTTGTTACGCTAGATGTGGCTTATTTATTTAAAAAGTCAAGCGGGGTGAAACCTTCAGGAGAGTATGTAAAGAGAGAATGCAAAGCCCACAATATCCATGAAGTTATGAGACTTGAACCCGGTATTTCGCCTTACAAAAAATCTTAACCGAATTCTTCTCAGCAGGGTGCCTCAGTTGTTTTCCGTTCCGTCGGACTCCGTTCTAATTCTAAAACTTTTGGGTCAAACAAGGCACAATTTTTTTTGTTTTCTTTCGGTAACAATACACTATTGTTTTTTCAACTAGCATATTGTAATCCTGATTGTGGTGTTGGCGGAATTTGCGCCTATAACGTCGCTGAGGGTAAAATGAAGTGTTCATGCAAGCAGGGATACTTCGGTGCCGCGTGTGACCAAGGTAAGTTACCCACACATCTACCTCGTTACCATTCCACCCCATCACTCACCCACCCACCCTCCTTTACAAGCCTTTTTAATGATTAAAGGAAGAGAGAATGGAGAAGGGCATCATAGACTTAGCTCATAAGACGCCTTTTCAGTTAAATTAAATTTTTCCATATTTAAACAAAACAATACAAATATGAGGAAAGAGAAGAGGAATCACACCTTAAACAACAGATAAATAAATCGTGCAAGGTTTAAGTTTGACAGTAAATGATACTAAGAAAAGTAATTCATGTAAAGTGATCCTTTAAACAGTTCTCTAGTGGGATTCTCCCGTATAGATATAGGAATACGATTCCAAAAGAAGCCCGTGGGACAGAACCTCCTGATATTTATTCTGAAGGGAATAAATTCCTTCCTATCCACTTACTTGCCCACCCACCGTCTTACCTCTTTACCTACTTATCCACCAATTTCCTAAACCTACCTATCTGTCTCCAGGTACCTACGGACATACCCAAATAGAACGGTTTTCAATTGAGTGTCGAGAAACAATCCATTGTAATCACAACAGCCAATCCGAAGAAAGGTTTACACCATCATTAGCCAATGGGAAATCAAAGTGAAATCTGGGAAACTGGTTGAAGTGCAAGAAACTCGTTTATTTCGATAGGCATATTTGTACCTACCTGGTTAAAGTTCGATCCTCAATTCAGCTTCATATAACATTGTACTATTTTTTACTACAGTTTTGAATCTTTAAATCTTTAAGTTGTCTTTTGTTAATTTCTTATAGTGAATCCCTGTGAGATGGACGTAGACGAAGGTGCAAGCTCCTACTTTCTCGCCGAAACTTTTGCCTTGAGTGACGCAGATGCTCTGGGCTGGAAGACCGATGCTGCAACCCAAAAAGCATGTTTGAAATACCTTGAGGAAGTCAATAATCAGTGCCCTTCATTAAAGACATTATTCAATCAAATTGAATGCGAGAAATACTGCCGTAAGTTGTATGATTGCTTCCCATCGACATAAGGGGTGAAACAGTCAGTGATGCTATCTAACTTAATTCTCGGAACACACTTAAAGGATCTTAGTCAACCATAATGTACTGTGCGCACGTACCCGAAAATCCTATATCGGAAAAAAAGGCTCTTATAAAGGGTAGTTACCAAGGTTATAAATATTCATTCCTTTTCCTTTTTTTGGCAGTTCCCGACGAAACAGATGAGGTATGTAGAAAGATTTGGGATCCTGAGAGTTCGGGATATTCAAAAAGCAGAATTCCGCGTGGAAACCAGTCGGTTTACTACGACGCTGAGTCTAATACGTGCAAGAATTTCTCGACACTTGGCTGTCTAGGAAATGCGAATAACTTTGGTAGCATGAAGAGCTGTGAGGACAAATGCATCCGTGAGTAGTTCTACATATGATTCTCACCTCTTTTCATCATTAATTTTCGTTTCAAAAATACGAAGAAAATTATTGAAACTTTTAAAGTCTTTAGTCAAAGGAATAAATTTATTTGGAATCCTTGTCTGTTTTATGTAATGTGAGTGGTTGATCGTGTTCGAATGACTCCGCCAGCAGTAGAGACACTGCAAATAAACGTGTATTCTTCTGTCTCATATCATTGTATTTACCCCTTATATGATTGAAATCGTTTGTATATTCCCTCCATTTCCTCTGTCTATATGTTTGCGCTAGATGTTGCTGTTAAAGTTTGTTTGCACATGCGGTTGTTGCATTTTCTTGTTTTTCTCCACTGTTTTACTTTATATTTGCTTTTAACCATCAGTTCTTGTGCCATTGCTCATATTTTTCTTACAATATTTTATTATTTATCTCTACAGGCACTGCTTCAAAATTGCCATTCATAAACAGTAAGTTTACCTTTTTTGAGTAATTATCCTAAACGTAATTTCTGTAAGTTTCAACTGCTAAATGGCAAAGATGCTTAGGCTATTTCTGGGATTAATTTTGTCACACGCTTCAGTAATTCAAACTACGTTTCAGTGGCTTGACATGATGTGAGTCATTCCACCAAACGGTAAACCTTGTGCACTTATTCAAATTTGTTTACAGTCTTTGATAACTAATAGAAGGCACCATTATTTACAAGTTTAAATTCTATCACGCTCTGGTGCACCTGTGATTACCTTATGGACTTTCGGCCCTTGTACTTTTGTCTTCATTTGTTGAGTGCAAAGGTCTGATTTGCTGTCACCACCCAGATGATTATTTCCAGCTACGCAAATTGCCCCAATGCTTTCAGGGTCATAACACGGGTTTTAAAGTAGAAGTGAACTGCCAGGTACCTACCTGCCTTTCACGTACCCGTAGGGTACGATTTCAATGAATAGCAAGTTATGGGTGCCACCTATAAAACCTCTCAGCACAGTCTGTTTAGCAGCAGGCTCTCGTGTTTGGAGTCCGCCTCGTGGCCACTTTCCGGCACGGCCACCTATTACCCCAATTGTGACCGCCTTCGGGAAAAGTCATTTAAACCCCTAGCTACAATTTTCGCTTTGTTCTCGTAAGACTTATCACCAACTCCTATTGCTCAGAGACTGTTGGCCGTGAGCTATTTTTTAATTCTTCAAGGCGCTTTTTTATGCATTCCGTTTTCTCGGAGGTTTCTTATCGACGTTCGTAGCTAACCCAACAGTTTCTCTCATCATATTGAATGAATACGATTTCCAAGTAATGATTATTGGTATGTTTCATTGTGGGGTTTTTTTGGAACGTCGACTACACCTTAGTCCATAAAAATAAAGAAACTTGGTTAATACTTGTAACATCATGACATTTCGTTTGTTGAATAACAGGTATGTCTTTAATAGCTCTCATGATTTCTATGTCCATATTTTTTCAGCAACTGGAACTTGCTTTGTCACTGGGAGAGATCATTTCAACACGTTTGATAACACGCCCTACAGATTCTTTCAGGAAAATTGTTCACAAATGCTTGTCTTGGACAAAGAAAATCCGGAGGAGTTTAAGGTGGTCCTGAACGGGAATTCGGGTTGCGAAATGATTTATCCTTGTCAGAAATCTCTGGACTTGATTTTAGATGGTGCGAAAGTATACCTTGGAGCTAAAACAAACACTACGTTTATCGTGAAAGTCAATGATAAACCGGTTGATCTTCCATATACGGATTCGTGGCCTTATGTCAAAAAGGTGGGTGCAGTCGTAAAAGGATTGTGGTTGTTAATGTTTGTTGTAGTACGAATGATGCTAATGTTTTTTCGTTTTCCTCGCTATGTATGTGTCGATTCTGGTTTTGATCGTGATTGCTTGATTTACTGAAGATTGTCACAAACTAGAGTTTCCAATTTCGGTGATTTCTGTCACAGGGTTCACCTAAAGTGATGGCCGCTTTAATATAAAAGTGAATGCGTTAACCAACTTTTTTTTTTATTACAATCTTTTCAGCTTCAAGAGTATATTTAGATTTTTTTTCAAAAAGTCATTCTTACTGCAGTAAGTTGCCCTTGTACTTAATTTTCGCTCTGTTGCTGAAACAGCCTCCCTTTTTTTCCTTTTACAGAGCGGTCGCTATGTTTTGGTGAAATCGCAAGATCACATCAACATTCTGTGGGACGGTGTACAAGATGTCATTATCAAAGTTCCGGATAGCTATAAGCACTCCAAGGAGCATAAGTTGGTGGGTCTGTGCGGTCTTTTTGACGCGAACAGTACGAACGACTTTACTGACATCGAAGGCAATCTAAGGGGGAAAGAGGATATCAAAGACTTCGCGGACAGCTTCAAACAGGACGTCAGTTGCGGTAACAGTCAGAATAGCAAGCCCCCCAATAGAACAGCCAGTGACATACGCGAAATCGAGGAAAAGTGTAGTTTGTTGGGGGACATGTTCGGCCCTTTCGGGCCGTGCCATAATTCTACCGATTACCGGCCTTTTATGGGAATGTGCATGTCGGACTTGTACGAAACTAGCAAGCAATTCTGGGACGAAGCGAAATGCGACTCGTTCGCCCTCTACGCCCGTGTTTGCGCATGGTTCCACCGTACGTCGGTCAAAGGATGGAGGACGCCGAATAGTTGTCGTAAGTAAACGATCTTATTGGTCAGAGCAAAACGACCCCCCTAAAAATATTGAAATCTACTTCTGGAATGCAACTAAAAACTACAGTGAAAGGTGACTGTAACTTAATTTAAACAACAGAAAAACGCTATCTGGGAATGGTAGTATGGTTAGATTAGGGTAGTAAAATCTTATGATCGTATTGTCCTGAAAACTGGTTTTGCTTTTTGTGACGTCTGACTACACTAGTGGGTTCAAATAATTTGTAGTACACAGTTTCTTCTCGCAGAATAGTGACCGTGTAAGGAGAAAAGCTGACGAGAGATTTTCGTAATTTGTCGGACGATCACGATCGTATTTTATTGTTTAACCCTTTAACTCCCAAGATCTCATTTGTAACTCTCCTTACTATCTGCCAAACGATTATCATCATGTTAGTGTGGAGAATTTGGTTTGGGATCAATTAGTAATCCCATAATTGTCTTTCTTCGTCACCCACGGGAGGTAAAGGGTTAAAACAATTATCGCTTGGATGCGATAGAATCGAAAAAATTTACTGAGCGCTCACGCTATATTTTTATAGTAGTATTTGGCGCCTTGTAACATGGAGACTATTCGTTCGGCAAGATAGAAAACGTAAAGTGGGCAAGGAGGAACCACTTACGAACAAAGATGCGAGGGATAAAAAAGGTAAAACTGATCAAAATGTCGGTGTCCGCTAAAAAAGGCTAATTTTTTTTTAAGATGTCGTGTCTTAGTTCCTGCGAAGTCTCCTTGAAAACCCGTTTGTGATCGAGACAGCTCTCGAAAAATCCTTCTCCTGCCAAAGTGAATGCAAATAATTTGTTAAATTCAAGTTTGCAAGACCCTTGAAAGTTGTAAAAGCTTATTCCTGAAGAAAGAATCTCGGTTTTTCCATAGCAATCACGTGCCCAGCTGGATTCGTGTACAATGAATGTGGATCGTCGTGCCCACTGAATTGCCGAAATCTCAACAGCAAAAATGCCGGTTGTAATTCGCCCTGCACTGACGGATGTCATTGCCCTGAAGGAAAGTGGCTGGACGGCAATGTTTGTGTTGAAAAAAGCAAGTGCTCCTGTATGTATCGAAAAGTAGTCTATCCTAATGGAGCGCAAAGAGTAGAACCTTGTGAAACATGGTGAGTCTCTGACAAGTGAAATTGCTCGCGATTATTATCAGGGTACATTCTCTTGAATTTGTTTGATCTTTTGCTCGTGAATTGAATCTGACGCTCTCAGCTTTCTGTCACAGTAATTAGCTTGTTTCAGCTAAGTATAAATGGATGCACAACTGTAGGTTTACCTATTATGAAGCAGGCTTGGCAAGGCCCGAACATCACTTCTTTGACCCTTCATATTAGTATAAAATAAAACGGTAGATAGCGTTTAAGGTGCGCTCTGATTGGCTACTCAAACTCCGAATATCCTTTGCTATTCAGCTCCAAGTAACTTGCCCGAAAATTTTGTAATCGTTGTAGGAATAACTGAGTTGAAATCATCTTTTTGTGCTATATCATTTCACTTTTAATATATTCTAGAACAACTAGTCATCTCAATGTCGCTCTGTAGCCACCTCCACTTTGGTGAATAGTGATGATGTCGATCGATGAAGAAGTCTTCAAATAGTACACAAGAGACATCAAACGGCCTTTAACTGTAAATAACCTGAAAGAAACAAGGAATAAACCAAAAAAGTTCTTGAGTATCGGGAAAAAATTGTTAAGTAGCGATTTGATACAAATGGCATTTGGATAAATGGTAATCGATCCGTTTATCAAATTTGTCTTTGTTTTTTTGTTTTGTTTTTTTTTTCGGAAGTTGTTTTCGGAAGTTATCCTCATTTGTTACGGAGATTTTTTGCTAAGGCCTAGATCCCATAACTTTGGCCCATCGACAATTTTGTATTCCAAACATTGTTGCCTGGAAATAAGAGCACTTCTAGAACAATTACAGCTTGGGCCATCAAATTGATTCACAAAATTGATGAATTTAAACTGTCTATTTTTAGTACTTGTAACGGTGGAGAGTGGTTGTGTTCAAAGAAGCCCTGTCCAGGTAGGTCTTAAATGAATTTAGCTCAGTGGTTCATCTGTAAGCTTGTTTTCCCATTTGCTGAATAATTGATTAAGATCTTTTAAAATTTATTTATTTTTTCCCCACTGTACTATTCAAACTCATTTCATACGGCTGAATTTACAAGCCGCTTGAAGGTAAACTACTCAGAAAATTCCTGTTCCTAAGAGGAACCATGTAATTTGTAAACCTTTGGTGTCATGTAGCAAAGTGCTGCCTCCGTTAAAAAAACATGAATTAAAACTTGAAAAATAAATACAGTAAGCGATTTACTAAATAAATGAATGACTAATGGGCCGATTGAAGAGAATCTTTTTAATTAAGTCGCGATTTTATATTTGGACCTAGGTTCGTTAGATTGAAAAAACAGTTAAATATGGTGCTACAGGTTTTGTGAACAATAACGCACTCTACATTTATTTACAACTACATGATATGCGAAGGAAAGCAGAACTGCTGCTTAAGTGGATTCAAGTATGAAAATGAATATGCAATAGAGTTCCACTAGTTTAGCTGCAATGTCAGCTACTCGCAGTCTCCAAATTCAGATCGATTTTTTTTGCGAAAACAAAGAAACGAATAAAGGCAAAACTCCCCCCCCCCAAAAAAAAACAAAAACAAATTCATAGAAGGGACAAGGACATGTAAGTTTGCAGAAGATTAACAAATATTTCAATTTCCGAAATTGGGGTCAAATTTTTCTGATGCACAGATCATCACATAGCTTCTTAAAACTTAACTGATCGCGTCTCTCAAGCATGATTGCAGTTCGCAGTGCAAGATTCAGAAGAGGGACTAGGCACAAGCCTAACTTTATTCAACCCCCAAAATCAGCCAGTGGAGACCTCTTTTACGTGGACTGTTTTCGACAGCGTTCTCTCCCATTGCACGAATGTGAAAAATGAATTTTTTTGCCTCTTAGGAACTTGCTCCGTCATTGGCGACCCTCACGTCACAACTTTTGACGGCAAGACGTACACCATGCATTTGAAGGAATGCTCGTATGTAATGTCAGAGCAGTGTCACATGCCTAATGGAGTAGGCCGGGGTTACTCCATTACCATTCGTAACAGGAACTGCACAGCAATGTACGCAAATTGTAAACGGGAAGTGCTAGTGAATGTCACTGGCCAACCTTTCTTGATTTTGGACGTCGAGGATGGTACCAGTAAGCCGACTGCTTCCATCGAGACTCAAAGTGGCAGCGTGACGAGTGTCAAAACGGATTACTCCGCCGAGAAGATGGATGTCGAATTTCTTGGTGACCGAAACATTTTTGTTCGTGTCAACCTTGGGGTAGGTATCGATGAGCTGGGCTTTAGGAAACAAGCAAAAGTTTTAAACTTATCCAAATTGCTCGAATAGAATGTCCGCGTCTCAGTGATTTCGTTTGGTCATGGATCCTGAGAGATCAAGTCCTTCAGGTCCCACTTTCCTCTTTGCAAAATTCTATTACGTGAGGTTAAGGGGATGATAGAAAATATTGTTTCCTTTTCATATGCAAACTTGGGCCATTGCCATCACAAGTTCTGAAAGTAAATCATATTTAACGGGAAAACAAACGGGGTTGATCACGCTTCAAGAAAACAAGTGTAGTATTGTCTTCCTTTTCATTCGCTTTTTCAATTTCATGTTTATCTGAAAGAATGGAGTGGCATTTTCTATCCACTGGACTGGCTACAACATTTATTTGACGGTGAACTCGACGCTAAAAGACCAAACATGTGGTCTTTGTGGTACATTCAATGATATGAAAGAGGATGACTTCCACATGCGCAGTAATGACGACATAGTGTCCATCGACGAATTCGCTAAGGAATGGCTGATCCCAGATCTCTCCGATGAAAAATGCGAGACAGAGAGCGTGGTAAGCTCGATTAACTACTGCAATATTTATCAACAAAATAAACAGTGGACTCTTGATCAGTGTTTCAAATTAAAAAATACTTCCCTTCCGTTCGCTGCCTGTCACAGCGAGGTGAGTGTGTTGGAGTACTATGAAAAGTGTGTTCAAGATGGATGTCGATGCAAGGGATGCCTGTGTAAAGTCATAGCAGGGTATGCAAAGGCCTGTGCGGACAAGGGGATTGATTTGAACGGATGGAGAAACTTAGTTTCCAGCTGCGCGGAAGGTGGGTTTTATAGGATACATGTCACACGAAATGTAGAGTTCTCGGTGTATTTCAAATAACCAAACTTAATGGAAAAACACAACATATTTTTCTAAAATGAGCAACGAAAACGCTGAAGAGACGACGGATAAACGCCGTATCCAGATGCACAGGTACACATGTATACTCAGTAGACTCCCAGTTTATCGAACCCCGGTTTTCTCTAGACTGCAGATATTAACAACCAAAACTGGAATTGCTTCCCGTACTCAAACACAGTTGCTTTACTCCGAACTTTTTTCGCCCTCCATGAAATTAAACCGCAATTTTTCTCTCCTAAGAGGTTAAAAAATTGGAATTCTACTTTAGTTTTCTTTGATATATTAGATCATGAGAAAATCCCACTCAATATCATGTTCCCAAAAGAGTTAAACACTGTACCTGTCAACCCTTACCTTACAAATTTCTTTGCATCACAAATTTTGTTTATCTACTAAACAAAGCACGAAATGATGTTCTAGATTACCAGTGCGGTGCAGACATGAAGCTTGAGCAATGTCGTAGACATACCAACGGCTCATTAGCTTGTCCTCAGACTTGCGAGGATCTAAATCCCGACCAAGACGGAGATTGCAGGAGGTAATGTCATTTGTACACTTCTACTAACTCTTTCAACCCGATAGGAAACTTAAGACGTTGAAGTAACTAATATGATGAAGTAATAAAAGTGCCTTGCTAAAGGACTCGTAGTATGTCACTTTGTCCCTCAACACATACTGACACAGTTATAAGAACCCCCTCCTAGGTCAATATGTTAAACAGGCGCCCCCTCTTCCCTCACTTTCAACTATATTTATAACTTTTTAAGCCGCAACTACAGCTGAATCAAAAGTTTCTTAATACGCGCCCCCTCGATTAGGCTCCCTCCTTCCAATAACCTCCTCCAATCCCTCCTTTTACCCGAAATTTCGAATGAGCGCCCGGACGCTTCTTACAGAAAATACTATAATCACCCATTAATTTCCACTATGTCAGACGTTTGTTGGAAACCCTCGAACCTCTATAACCGTCGTACACTCCTAATGTAAGCTACCCTGACATTTGCAATTTTTTCCAGACGTGGCTGCGTAGAAGCTTGCTATTGTAAAGATGAGGATCAGGTTCTGAGGAGCAATAAATGCGTGCTAAAGGAGGAATGTCCTTGTTACTTTGAAGGGAAAGAGTACGAGAAGGGAGCCACACGATTTGTCCGATGCAACACTTGGTACGTTTAATTGTTATTGTTTTGGTTTCAAGGTTAACGTTTGTACGCCAATGAAGTCATCTGAGTACTGTGAAATGTCCAAGATTTGCAGGAAGGAAGTAGAGGAGTGCGATCACCGCGTTACTTTCTCAGCATGATGAAGTTAAAAGTTCAGAGTCGGAATTTTGTGTTTGCAATTTCACTTGAAAAGCTGTGTTCAGCGCACTTATCGTTTCAAAAGTGAATAGATCAATATGATTCTTTTTTATGAAGGAGATTCGTTGCCCCTTTGGTTTTTGCATTTTAATCCGTATTCAAAGGTTCGGGCTTGCGTCCTGGCTGGGTCATACTGTTTTTTTAAGATAGGACATCTAACATTCATCGGGTCTTACTTCATCCAGGAGTGGGCATGAGTATTTGCAAACTGTCAGAGAAACCTGAGGGAATTCTGTGTTGGGAAGGGCCTGGATACCAGCACATATGATGGACTAGCTTCCCATCAAAGAAGAGTAGCCTGCGCAGGCGCTTTGGAAGCTAGTATAAGATAAAGTAGTGATAAATCAATAGGCAAAGATTTTAGGACGTAATACTTTTTTTTTTTTTAATATCTTTTTGCTGTCAGCACTTGCAAAGGAGGTGGACAGTGGGAGTGTACAGATGACGACTGTGATAGTAAGTACTTCAAATTTTTAAAACTTGTGGCCAAATTTTTCACACGCATTCGTTTAATTCAACATATATGGGGGGTCTAAGGTTGAGGTTGGACTCTTTCTCGGGGACTCAAAATTTTCTCTCTGTCCCACGCTCATAAGACGAAAAAACATATTTCGCTTTACACCGAGATTGTAATTAAACTATATCTTTTTGTCTTCATAGCTACTTTAATTGCCTTTTTAACCACGATCATCTTTCTTGACATAATTCTGCCTGTGTTATCTGCCTCAGCCTTCGGCTCAATGCTCCACCTCAACCAATAATTACTTACTATAAGCTACTGTTTTAACATTTTTAAAGTATTTCTATTTCGACCCCTATTTGAATAATCGCAATTTTTTCAAATTTTTTTTCGTAGAAATGTGCGCTAAGGAAGGAAAGGTGTACTCAGACTGCGGTCTTACATGCGACAATTACCTGATGAGTGACATCTCACGACAGTCCCGGTGTAAGCGGGGATGTTTCTGTCCTGGTGATCAACTGCTCCTTGAGAACGGAACATGTGTGGAAAAGAATCAGTGTGGCTGTAAACACAACAACAAGATTTACCAGAAGGGTGAAACCAACCCAGTTGATTGCTCAAAGTATGTGTACTATAAAAACGAAAAAGAATACAACTTTGAAGTGTTTGAAACGTTCTCTGTTTAAGTATTTCAAAGTTGTGTTATCATAAGTTTTCTTTGTCTTGTATTGTTATCTTATTCAAAAATAGATGAAAAAGGATTAAAACTGACGTAGCAAAGAAACTTTTATCAAAAGGTATTAATAACTAGATTTTTCCCGTGGGGAGGGGGCATCGTAAAAAAAGATTTTGCAGCCAGCCTTGTACACTAAACAGTTTCCCTTTTGACACCTACTTTTGCACTTGTCATTCCCGCGAGTAACTTAAGGTTAATGCAAAACAACTACGATATGATAAATTTTCTTTTATAACGTTTTTTCTGTAGCATATTATTGAATATCATAGTTTAAGAGATAATTGGATATTATGCATGCTACAGATAAGCTCCTTTCGCCAGCAATGTGACTTTGTGGCTGCTCCGCTGTGATGCTTGTGTTTTGTTAAGTAAGAATCCCTCGCATTATGAGTCCTGCTATGACGGTATTTAATCATTCATTAGCAGCCCAGGGAATTACTTTTCAACAGAACACAACCTCAACATAACTGGCTTCTGGGGTGGACAATTACCAACGCGTTAAGACTAAAGGAAGTGAAACCAAGTTAGCCAGGAATTATCGGAAATCACAGACCACGACGGAGTTTCTTAAATGCAGCTTAGTGTTTTGTGCGCTTATGTTCTAGTTTCTGGATAATGAGACTATTAACGCGTTAATTTCTTGATTTTTTTTTAACTCACTAGAACTTGCAACGGCGCTCGTGAGTGGATCTCTGACAACATGATCAATCCGTCGCCGGAATACGAGTGCGCCGCAACGGGTCAGGATCATTATCGATCATTTGATGGAAGATGGATCAAGTTTCATCAGGAGAGCTGCAAGTTTACCATGATGAAAGAAGATACTGTCGAAATCTCTGTCAAGAACGAACCATGCAGGTATGGCCTTTTGGCCCTCATTCACTCATTGTGATATTTTCCGTCCTATTATCTTATTCGCTGTTGTGTAATACACAATATTTAGGTGCGTTTCCCAGACCAAGATGGTGGCATGATACTCTACTCTCATACTGCTTCACTCCACCCAGGAGTAAGAATATTTGACCAGCAATCATTATTGGGGGGTGGGAGGGAACAAGAGGTTGACTGTGATGGACAAACATCTCGTTCATAGGGAGGCCCAAACTCTTAGTCGTATCGTGCTAGTTAAATCTTGATGCACTCAGCCATAAGGGGCCAGAAAGGAGCGAAAGAATTAGGCAATCAGGTTAGATCCTAAACCAATTCTCAATCAATCATTGAAAGCAGTCCCGGATTAGTGAAGTTTATTTCACCTTGTTTTGTGATTGGTCCAGAAAATTTACGTCATACATCAACGAATCAGATGCAAAAGTAAAGCCAATCGTAACTTGGTCACCCGCATTTTCCCGCGTTTTAAGCAATTTGCCTGTATTTTTAATAAGAATTCTCATTGATCTTTTGTCATGTTTGCCTTTGATCTGAATGGCTGTTTTGACTACTCTGTGTTAGGTTTTTGACATTCAATGACAATCGAATTGATCTCTTATTCAAAACCGAAGATGATTTAAGTGTTGTTTACTTCTTGTAGGGATTCACTGGAGTTGCAGATGTGCAAACGAGTTGAAATTAAATTAGAGGGAGGAGCAACTGTGGAGTTGTTCCAAAAGGAATTTAGCATTATTCAAAATCAGAATACAAAAACTTACAAACCCGGACAATATCCCGAGCCGTGCCGGATGATGTCAGACCTTCCTAATGTAGAGATTTTTCACGTGGGGTTGTTCCTTATCGCTCGTATTTACGAGAAAAATAACCCTTTCTTCGTTAAATTTGAGGTAAGAGGATGATTTTTTCGCAAGAAGGTGATTCTCTGCTCGTTTTGTTGGCGGGAAGTTTGGAGTCTTGGATTCTCTCAATTGGTTTGATCGTGTTGTGGTGATAAAATTGAAACGAATATCTCGCAGTCCCTTTCAATTTCTCAATTTCCTTTAGTCTTCCTCCCACTCCTCTGTTGTCTGAATTTGAGCTGAACGAAAATTATATGCCTTTTTTGAGTGTTTTTCAAAGCTAAAACTCAAGTACACTCTTCCTTTTCATACGTTAAGAACATGTAAGACACTTAACGAAATAAGTTTTTATTTCTTCTAGTTATTTCCAAACATCTGAGATACGGCTTTTCCCCATTGCTATCTCATCTCCTGGCGCCTACTCCCTGTAATCCTCTTCCACGTTATTTGTGCTCTACTCCATTTTCTTCCTTCGTCCGGGCTAAGTTTCTATAATTTACCTTCAACATGTCATTCTACATGTGTCCATTTTTAAAGTATGTGTAACTTGTTAGAAATTTATAGAAGCTTCCTTCGATAGACTCTTCTCCCATCTGAGCTAAAGGTTCGTAAGTGACGAATTCCTTGCATTGTGGTGACAACAGCAAAGTCGGAAGAGTCTTATGGGTAGATAGGGTCTTTGATTACAGAAAATTCTTAAACTAAAGATATCTAAAAACTGTCTCTATAGGTTCGATTTGACCAAGGTTCCCGGGTATACATTACGCCCAATCCAGCCTATAGGAAGGCTGGCAAGCTTTCTGGTCTGTGTGGCAACTTCAACGGACTCGTTCAGGATGACCTGCGGCTTCGCGATAATGTCACGGCAAATGATGACGTTGAGTTTGGTTATGATTGGAAAGATGACGATGACTGCCCCCGTCCAGTGTCTCTTGATCCTTGTTTGTCAAATCCATCTCGCCAAGGCTGGGCCGAGAAAGGTAATTAGTAATATCGGCAATTGAATTTGTTTCGGTAGCGAGCGCCAGAATTGAGCTTAAGTCTTTTCACGAAGAAATAAGATTCGGAAACAATATAATTTTCCATCTTCCATTGGAAAGCAAATGCATAAATTAACTTCTGGCGCGTTTTTAGATTCCAAAGAGTACCCACACTGTTTTCCTGACTTAAATTGTCTTTAAATGAACTAAGCATTAAACTATGGACGTCACTAGCTCGTTTTATTAGTTTGCAGTAGTAGTGGTGGGTTGAAACTAAAAACGTAAATAAGAGCAAGTTAACTAATCAAGATAAACAAGCTATAAGCAAAAGGCGAATGAAAACAAAGCGAAACGATAAAAAGAAATACTTACATTGATCACGCCCAATATAACTGCAAAATCGACTTCTACAATAGAGAACCTTGCCAGGCGCGACTTCAGGTAAACTGTCTCGAAAAGTCATTATGCGTAAAAGGAAATGGCTTTAATACAAGACTGCCAAATAACGTGCGGTATGAGAAACGTGCGAAAAGGTGTAACTGACGAAGAAACACGCTAAGAAGCTCAACAAAAAACATGAACAAAGAGGTGTGGAAAAGGAAAAGCGCGTAAAAAATACGAAATAAAATTAGAAAGCGCTTAGTACTTACAGAGGGTGTTTATTTTTCATGAGTGTGAGACAAAGGGATGAAATGAAATCTTTGCCTGACAAAGAATCGAACGTCATATCCACGGCCCTCACGGTACGATGCTCAACAACCGTGTCACAGAGAACTAAATTGGGGACCGGGCTATGTATTGACTTAACAAATTATGTCAAACGCGTCCTACTTCTCGTTTAAAAATTGTGAAAATAGATCTACAAAGACAATCGCTTTGTTTTTTAAGGTTGCAACGAGATCAAGAGAAATGCCAACTTCAAAGCATGCCACGATACTGTGGACCCTGAGCCTTACTTCCAGGCCTGTAAGCACGAGTCTTGCCTCTGCAACAAAGGAGGGGATTGCGCATGCTTCTGTTCAGCGATAGCAACTTACGTTCGAGCCTGTAATCAGATGGGCATCTCAATCACGTGGCGTCGTGAAGGCTTTTGCGGTGAGTTTATAGAGCTTGCGTGCAGCATTTTTAATCCTTTACAACCTAACATCGGTGTGCATATTGCCCCTACTCTCCTCTACATATTTCCTAATGTATTCAAAAGGAGAGTTTGTTTCACAATCAAGAGCTTCACTAGTTGATGATCATTTCCTTTATTCTGGTGACCTTAACCTGTGATTTTGGGGAGATATTGTAAGGTGAAGTTGTCACTCTAAGGGGTCAAAGAGTAAATAAATCCAGGAGAAGGGGAACGAAAGAGATAACATTCAAGAAGGTTTAAAACAGAGAAATGGAAATGAGTGAATTTTCCCCAATGATCCAGCACATCAAGAGCAGTTATTATGTTAATATTTATTGAAAAATTTAGACTTTAGAATTATAGGCACAATATTGAAGACTTGTTGTGGTTCTATTTAACTTCAGCATAGTTCCTAGTCTTATTATCATACTATTACATCTATATATATTTCCAGAACTACCATGTTGTCGTCCCTGTGAAAATACTGGTGGTTACCTTGCCAACATAAGTTTACCTTCAACTTGCGAGCAGACTCCAAAGGATTGCGAAAAACTGGGGGCAAGGTGCTGCCGAGGACCCCGTGTGGAAGGGTGTTCATGTCCCAATGGAACGTTCTTCGATGGCAAGAAATGTGTTAATCAGACAAGCGAGTGCGAGAGGCCTTGCGTTGGCTCATCCACTGTCACGCTCTCCACATCAAGTGTGTCAAGTACAAGCAGCATCAGGTGTGTGATGGTGAACACAATTGTCATGGACTGTTATGCTACTCTAGTCATAATTTTAAGAAGTTATTGCATTGTAACTTCGAAACAGAGTTCCAGTCCCTCCTAGTTTCATTAACTTCTGTAAAACCAATTTAATTTTTTGATAGGCAGTCGAATTTCAGTGAATGGAAGTCTGTAAAGAAATGTACAAATTCGTTAGACTTGTCCTTTGTAAGGGGTCTTGTCCTCTAACAGTTTGGTATGTATTCTGTTTGTGAGAAATGCCTCAACCTGGGCTACCTGTGGCGCTTACGCTCACTCAAATTAGCATCTAGGCTTTTCCTATAAAACTGTAGAAAATTATTCTATCTATAACAAGAAGGCGTTAGAAGCGAACCTGCCCCGTGCATTGGGCATCACTAAAAACATCTAAATGTTTGGCACATTACATAATTACTTAAAAAACAAAAGGAACAACAGAGGAGAAAATGTAAAATTCAGAAGGGAAGAATAAATTGTACTCATCTGTAACTTTTTCCGCCTTTTTTACTTACTTATTCCAAGCATTTCAAGTTCCTCGAGTGCAAGCACATCTACCTCAACATCCTCAAGTACAAGCACAAGTACTTCTACATCAGTGTCCACCAGTGTGTCTACCTCTGCCTCAACCAGTGTGAGCACTACTTCATCGGTGTCAACGAGTGTATCAACATTGGTCTCAACTGGTATTCCTAGCAGCTTAAGGTAAATATTTCATTAATCCCTCCAAAGTCAATCTTTTTATAGCTTTTTTTATTTGACGTCGCTTAGTTTAACGTTTAAACTCAAACCAAGAAACTAGCGAAAAATAAATGTCATTGTCAAGTATGTAAACTTTTGATAATAGTCAGAGAAGTTGCATTCCTATTAATTTTTAACAGTCTGTTGCTTTTGGTTTTTGGATTACATGCATGATTTTAAATAGTACCTCTAAGATCAATTGCTTTGTTTACCAATTCTGGCAAAACGTAAGACAGGTAGCTATGCAGAAATAAATCCCTGTTTCTTTGCCTTAATGACATTAGTTCCGCCAGTCAGCCTCGTAAAGTTACATTTCACGTCACCTTTTGTAACCTGTTTTGATTAACGGGTGTTTTCTGAACACTCGTTGCAAGTTGTAATCGTATATTGAAGACTGTAATGAGAGGAATCTAAACGCTTGATGGATTTTGCTGAGCCTAACTGTTCATGGTGCATGTATTGCGTGAACCGCATAGAGCGAATTTAGTTAGTATTAGAAGTCAGTGCTTAACTTCTGACATTGTTGTAATTTTTCTTTAATGCATAGTACGTCAACTTTGACCTCGAAGTCTACCCCAACCAGTATATCTACGTCGATATCTACTAGCTTGTCCAGGTATGAATAGTTATCTAAAGTTTATTGTGGTACCCTTTGAATGAACGATTTACATGAAAATACATCTTACAATACGTTGAAAAAACATCAATTGAAGATACTTTTAATGATTTTGAATGATTTTTGCCCTCCAGCTGGCATGAGGCAGATAAATTTTTTTAAATATTAAAGATATGTTTTATTTAAATTTATTTTGTATTTCGGAAAAAAACGTCATGAAGTTCGCGACGAATACCGTTGTTGTCTCGGAGAGTGGGAAAATCACCGAGCTGTAGAATGGGCTTGAACTCTCTGCAGAAACTACGGAAATTCCGTAGGCACAACACATATTATTATGGCTAAATATCAATTATTCCCAAAAAGGAGGCTTTATGTAGGGTATTTTACCAGGATTAAAACCAGAAACAGATCGACACCTTTTTCATTGCGTAGCATTCCTCGATATGCAAATTTATCCACTGCCCCGGGCTGACTAATGTCAGTTTAGCAGCACAGCGGTCAAAGGTTTGTGCACGTGCAAATGTTTAAACGATGAAAAGGCGGTCCAACACCTTCATGCTAACGGAACCAAGTTAACTCCTGAAGTTAATAACAACCACACAAGACGGTTACTGACAGTTCTTAACTTTGTCGATAAAGCTCAAACCAAACTGACAACTCAGCAGAATATTCGTAATTGAACAAACTTTGCGTTCAATCTTAATTTTCCCTTGAATTTAGCTTCACATCATTTCAGTGATATTTTGCGTTTCAATTTTTTTCACGTTAATTTTGCGTGGTGGGGCTGGCTCCTTTTGTTTTTCTTTTAAATGTGCATAGGCAATTCGCACTCGGCTAACCAAAATTAATGCATATGCACATGCCCTACGTTTGACCGCTGTGTTCAGTTGAGCTGACGGGAATCTCCTTTCGATTTCTTTTCAACCTTCATTGTGCGGTAAACAGATCAAAACGGGAAACAGATCACACTTAGTCAAGGATACAGCAGGTGATCATAAAGGGGGAATTGCTGACCAAGTTGTTGTTGTTTATCGGTGGCGGTGGTGGCAAAATAAGAGATTAGATTTAGGAAACGGTAATGAAGGCAGGAGTAATATTTCATTGTGGTAATACGGAAGAAGGAAGATTGTAAATGAGCTGTTGTTGGTTACACTGACTGACGTTTCGAACAATGTCACTTGAAGATATGTTTATTGTCGACTGTTATGAGTTGCGCTCGTGGGAGCTGACTGCGTATTTGATTGGTCAATTTTCGGTTAGTGTTGCAGGCTGTAAGACTCAATTAGTTTTAGTCAGTTTTGTTGATCAGTTTCCATTTTACGGATATTCAGGTTATGCGATCCAGTTTGTTATGTTAACGTCACGATAAGGTCGTTTTGATAATGATGGCGGTGACGATGGTGATAAGTTTGATGCTAGCAAAGATTAAAATGAAGGTAATGACTATTGAAGTTGATGGTGAAAATGATGCTGATGATGGGAGCTGTAGTAGTAATATTTCACTTTGTAGTTATGGTGGCGAGGAAGAGCAGGCTTTGTTACTCTATTGCTAAGTTAGTTTGTTGTAGATGATAGGAGAAAGAAGTGAGATGCAGAAGTTTTTTTTAAAAATAATTTTCATTTATGAAGTTAAGCTCAAACAGTTAATGGGAATGTAGATATGAATTCCCTCTTTCGATCTCTTAGTTCACCGCTATACACTCAAGGTCAATCATCCTACGGCGCAAGTGTATCAAAATCAGTTTTTAATGTGTCTTCGACCGAGTCAACGTCCGAGGCGATATTTCCCCCACGCTCGTCATATCAACGATTTTCAGAGAAAACAACAGCCACTGTGTTCCCCTCGTCTGCGTACAGTTTGTCCTCTAATGAACAGTATTCAATACCTACATCAAGTAGGAAGCCGCCGAGTTTGAAGCCTCCGAGGACATCTTCTACATCAAGTGTCTCATCTTCCAGGTTATTAGCATTACCGTCAGCTTTGGAGAGGAAGGGTGGGGTTGGGGATAGAGGGCAAAGGGATGGAGGATAGGGGGAGAGGAGGAAAGAACCACCAACATTCATCGGGGAGGAAAAGGATTGTTTATGAAATAAAGGGGAAATCGAGGCCTTAGATCGATGAAGAAACGTCTCTAAGATGCCAAAAATTGTAGTTTAACTATTTAGACTGTTCGTGCGATTGATCGCATGGTCGGAAAACGCACTTTTTGACTATTTCAGAAAAGTTGCGCAGTGAGGAACCTCCTCGTTACTCCTCTTGGCTTGAAGTCAATCTGCTTTATGTACATCTCGCAAATCACTTGTTTCATCCCTCCTTAGATAAATCCAGCCGGAAAGTATGAAGCACACTCTTAAAGGTTTTTGTTAGGTATAAACAAATGAAATGACGTGAAAAACATCGAAAAGCATGGAGCGAATTAAAAAAGATTCAAAGCGCAGACCATATCGTTAAATGGTACTTTCACTGACTAAGTTTTAGTTGTCGTTCTAATTTCAATACCTTTTAACTCAACAGTAAATCTATATCAACTTCAACAAGCACCTCAATAAGTTCAAGCTCAAGCTCAACCAGTAGAAGTTCAAGCAGGTCGACTAGTGTTTCCACAAGTGTATCAACTTCATTGAGTACAAGTACTTCCACATCAACCTCAACAAGTGTCAGTACTTCGTCATCACCATCCAGCAGTGTGTCAACCTCAACCTCAACAAGCGTATCTACATCAGTTAGCACCAGCACGTCTATTACAACGTCATCATCAACAAGCATTAGTACACCAACAACGTCAGTTTCCACCACGTCATTAAGTGCCAGCACAAGTACTTCAGCATCAGTGTCCACTAGTGAGTCTACCTCCACTTCAAAAAGTCTAAGTACTTCAACTTCAATGTCCACTAGTGTGTCTACTTCAACATCAACTAGTGTAAGTACACCATCAACTTCAGTTTCCACTACATTGTCAAGTGCCAGCACAAGTACTTCAACATCAGTATCCACCACTGTGTTCACTTCAACCTCAACAAGTATAAGCACACCAACAACGTCAGTGTCTACGACATATTCAAGTGGCAGCCCAAGTACTTCAACATCAGTGTCTACTAGTGCATCTACCTCGACGTCAACAAGTAAGTCGACATCAATCTCAACCTCTGCTTCAACATCAACTAGTGTTTCGACTTCTGTCAGCACAAGCATTTCAACATCAACATCGGCAAGTATTAGTACACCAACAACAACAGTTTTCTCGACATACTCAACTGCCAGCACAAGTACTTCAACCTCAGTGTCCACCAGTGTATCAACATCAACGTCGACTAGTGTGAGTACACCATTCACGTCAGTTTCCACTACATTATCAAGTGCCAGCACAAGTACCTCAACATCACTGTCGACTAGTGTGTCTACATCCACCACAACTAGTGTGAGTACACCAACAACATCTGTTTCTACTACATTGTCAAGTACCAGCACAAGTACTTCAACATCAGTGTCTAGTAGTGTGTCTACATCCACTTCCACAAGTGTGAGTACACCAACAACGTCAGTTTCCACTTCATTGTCAAGTGCCAGCACAAGTACTTCAACATCAGTGTCTACTAGTGTGTCTACCTCGACGTCAACAAGTAAGTCGACATCAATCTCAACCTCTGCCTCAACATCAACTAGTGTTTCGACTTCTGTTAGCACAAGCATTTCAACATCAACATCGGCAAGTATTAGTACCCCAACTACAACAGTTTTCTCGACATACTCAACTGCCAGCACAAGTACTTCAACCTCAGTGTCCACCAGTGTATCAACATCAACGTCGACTAGTGTGAGTACACCATTCACGTCAGTTTCCACTACATTATCAAGTGCCAGCACAAGTACCTCAACACCACTGTCGACTAGTGTGTCTACATCCACCACAACTAGTGTGAGTACACCAACAACATCTGTTTCCACTACATTGTCAAGTGCCAGCACAAGTACTTCAACATCAGTCTCTAGTAGTGTGTCTACATCCACTTCCACAAGTGTGAGTACACCAACAACGTCAGTTTCCACTTCATTGTCAAGTGCCAGCACAGGTACTTCAACATCAGTGTCTACTAGTGTGTCTACCTCGACGTCAACAAGTAAGTCGACATCAATCGCAACCTCTGCCTCAACAACAACTAGTGTTTCGACTTTTGTTAGCACAAGCACTTCAACTTCAATATCGGCAAGTGTAAGTACACCAACTACAACAGTTTTCTCGACATACTCAAGTGCCAGTACAAGTACTTCAACATCAGTATCCACCAGTGTATCTACATCAACTTCGACTAGTGTGAGTACACCAACAACGTCGGTTTCCACTACAGTATCAAGTGCAAGTACAAGTACCTCAACATCACTGACGACTAGTATGTCTACATCCACCACAACTAGTGTGAGTACACCAACAACGTCCGTTTCCACTACATTGTCAAGTGCCAGCACAAGTACTTCAACATCAGTGTCGACTACTGTATCTACATCCACCTCAACTAGTATTAGTACACCAACAACATCAGTTTCCACTACATTGTCAAGTGCTAGCACAAGTACTTCAACATCAGCGTCAACTAGTGTGTCTACCTCAACGTCAAGAAGTAGGTCAACCTCAACCTCTGCCTCAACATCAACTAGTGTTTCGACTTCTGTTAGCACAAGCACTTCTACGTCAACATCGGCAAGTGTAAGTACACCAACTACAACAGTTTTCTCGACATACTCAAGTGCCAGCACAAGTACTTCAACATCAGTGTCCACAAGTGTATCTACATCCACCTCGACAAGTGTGAGTACACCAACAACATCAGTTTCCACTACGTTGTCAAGTGCCAGCACTAGTACTTCAACATCTGTTTCAACTAGTTTGTCTACCTCAAAGTCAGCAAGTAAGTCGAAATCAACTTCAACCTCTGCTTCAACATCAATTAGTGCTTCAACGTCCCTTAGCACAAGCACCTCAACATCAACATCGGCAAGTTTTAGCACACCAACTACGACAGTTTTTTCGACATACTCAAGTGCGACCACAAGTTCTTCAACATCAGTATCCACTAGTGTATCTACATCAACGTCAACAAGTGTAAGTACACCAACAACATCGGTGTCCAAGACCTTGTCAAGTGCAAGCACGAGTACTTCGACATCAGTGTCGACGAGTGTGTCTACTTCCACCTCAACTAGTGTAAGTACGCCAACAACGTCAGTTTCCACTACATTGTCAAGTGTTAGCACAAGTACTTCAACATCAGTATCCACCAGCGTGTCCACATCAACATCAACAAGTGTGAGCACACCTACAACGTCAGTTTCTACTACTTTGTCGAGTGCCAGCGCAAGTACATCAACGTCAGTATCCACCAGTGTGTCGAGATCACTGAGCACTAGCACGTCCACGTCGACTTCGGCATCCACTAGGTATTTTATTTGAAACGTTTTATGTGGTGTGTTGTTGTAAAAGGATGAACCGTTTTTTTTTTGTGCCCTTCGGATACCTTTATAGAAACTTGTTAGGGATTTTGGTCAAGTATTGAATGTAACATATTACGAGGAAATCCTTGTCCCTGGAAATTATCTTGGCGTCATTAAGCTACAAAAAAGAGGAGTGGGGGTAATTTCCGACACTAATAACCAGGCGTCTAGTGTTACGCTTTTTAACAGAGCACTATCCTTGTCTCAGGAAATTATCTTTGACAAAAAAGTGATCATGAGATTTGTTTGTTAATGTTTATATTACGAGATGGGTTTCTTAAATATTAAAATTTTGTTTTGTACGTTTGTGGTCATAAGAGCTGGAGCTCTTGTTGCGCTAATTTAAACGCAGCGTTTGCTCACAATTCTTGATATGTAATGATTAAATGGTTTTTTTCATCAGTTTGAGAGGGTGAGCGTGTTTGTATAGTGTTTGTGCAAATAAGGCCTTGTGTAACTAAATTCCTATTGTTTATTATTTTCAGTGTTTCAACTTCAATCTCGATTAGTACGAGCTTGACCTCTACCAGCACAAGGTTAGTTTATGAAAGTTTGGGAAGCATGAGAGGTGCTTACGATCCTTCAAATTGCTGTTATTAGCAATTCAAGTCGGCAAAGTTTAAAAATATGGTATATATCTTTCAGCGTTTCTACCTCACGGTCCACTACAGTGTCAGCGTCGTCATATCAATCCGTTTCTGAGAAGACTGCAGTCACTTTTTTCCCGTCGTCTGCGTACAGTCGGTCCTCTAATGTACAGTATTCAATACCTACATCAAGTAGGAAGCCGCCGAGTTTAAAACCTCCGGCGAGATCCTCTACATCAATTGTCTCATCTTCCAGGTAATTAGATTAAGAAGTGGAATTTTTTTTAAAGAGATTGAAGACAAGTGAAAACACGCAACAAAAGTTTTGTTTTTACTAAACTTCTTCGGGATTTAAATTAGAAAAATGGCTCTTTGAAAGTGTCATAGACCCTTTTCTTTAGTCAAGTGAATTCTACAAAGACAGATCACGGTTTTTTTGATTAAGAAGGAGAATCAGATGGCATGGGAGGAATCAAAACTAGGGTGGAATGTGTTAAGTATACCAATATAATGGTACTTCAGAGCTTACAGTTGGTCAGGTTACAAAAGCTGCATAAGATTACTTCTCTCAGGACATCCCAGAGAAAAAACCCGCAATTGATATGTATTAACTTCAATCATGCATCTCAATTTCCTTTTAAATTAATTTTGTTACCTCAAGCACGTCTCTATCAACATCAAAATCAACATCTTTGAGTTCAAGTAAGTCAACAAGTGTGACGACATCAGCGAGTAGCAGTACATCAACCTCAACCTCAAAGAGTGTTAGCACACCAACGAGCACAGTTTTCTCGACGTATTCCAGTGCCAGCACAAGTACCTCAACATCAGTGTCCACCAGTGTATCGACTTCAACCTCAACTAGTGTAAGCAGTCCAACCACATCGGTTTCCACGACATATTCAAGTGGCAGCAAAAGTTATTCAACTTCAGTATCCACCTCTGTGTCTACTTCAACGTCAACTAGCTTATCGAGATCACGTAGCACAAGTACATCTACATCAAAATCGACATCAACTAGTGTCAGTACCCCAACAACCACTGTGTTCTCCACATATTCCAGTGCCAGCACAAGTACCTCAACATCAGTATCCACCAGTGTGTCTACTTCCACCTCATCAAGTGTGAGCACTCCAACAACATCAGTCTCAACGACATACTCAAGTGGCAGCAAAAGTTATTCAACTTCAATATCCACAAGTTTATCAACGTCGACATCAACGAGCTTTTCCACATCAGTTACTGCCAGTACATCCAAGTCGACTTCAGCATCATCAAGTCTAAGTACTCCAACAACTACAGTATTCTCGACCTATTCAAGTGCCAGCGTATATACGTCAATATCAGTGTCGACAAGTACCTCAACATCAGTGTCCACCAGTGTGTCTACTTCCACTTCAACTAGTGTAAGTACGCCAACAACGTCAGTTTCCACTACATTGTCTAGTGGGAGTAAGAGTACTTCAGCATCGGTATCCACCAGTGTATCAAAATCAATGTCAACTAGTGTAAGTACACCAACAACGTCAATTTCCACCACATTGTCAAGTGCCAGTACAAGTACTTCCACATCAGTGTTGACTAGTGTGTCTACATCCACCTCAACTAGTGTGAGTACACCAACAACGTCAGTTTCCACCACATTGTCAAGTGCCAGCACAAGTACTTCAACGTCAATATCTTCCAGTGTATCCACTTCAGCATCAACAAGTAAGTCGAAATCAACTTCAACCTCTGCTTCAACATCAACAAGTGCTTCAACGTCCCTTAACACTAGCACCTCAACATCAACAAGTGTCAGTACACCAACTACGACAGTTTTCTCGACATACTCAAGTGCGAGCACAAGTACTTCAACATCAGTATCCACCAGTGCATCTACATCAACGTCAACTAGTGTGAGTACGCCAACAACATCGGCGTCCAAGACCTTGTCAAGTGTGAGTACAAGTACATCAACATCAGTATCCACCAGCGTGTCCACATCAACATCAACAAGTCTGAGCACACCAACAACGTCAATTTCCACTACTTTGTCAAGTGCCAGTACTAGTACTTCAACATCAGTGCCGACTAGCGTGTCTACATCCACCTCAACTAGTGTGAGTACACCAACCACGTCAGCTTCCACTACATTGTCAAGTGCTAGCACAAGTACTTCAATATCATTATCCACCAGCGTGTCCACATCCACATCAACAAGTGTGAGCACACCAACAACGTCAATTTCTACTACTTTGTCAAGTGCCAGTACTAGTACTTCAACATCAGTGTCGACTAGCGTGTCTACATCCACCTCAACTAGTGTGAGTGCGCCAACGTCAGTGTCCACGACATTGTCAAGTGCCAGCACAAGTACCTCAACATCGGTATCTACCAGCGTGTCCACGTTAACATCGACAAGTGTAAGCACACCAACAACGTCAGTGTCGACGACATTGTCGAGTGCCAGCACAAGTACCTCAACATCAGTATCTACCAGCGTGTCCACATCAACATCGACAAGTGTGAGCACACCAACAACGTCAGTGTCTACGACATTTTCAAGTGCCAGCATAAGTACTTCAACGTCAATATCTTCCAGTGTGTCCACTTCAGCATCAACCAGTAGGTCGAAATCAACTTCAACCTCTTCTTCAACATCAACTAGTGCTTCAACTTCTCTTAGCACAAGCACCTCAACATCAAGATCAGCAAGTGCTAGTACACCAACTACGACAGTTTTCTCTACATACTCAAGTGCGAGCACAAGTACTTCAACATCAGTATCCACCAGTGTATCTACATCAACGTCAACTAGTGTGAGTACACCAACAACATCGGTGTCTAAGACCTTGTCAAGTGCGAGTACAAGCACATCAACATCAGTGTCCACTAGTGTGTCTACACCAACTTCAACAAGTGTAAGCACACCAACAACGTCAATTTCGACTACATTGTCAAGTGTCAGCACAAGTATTTCAACATCAGTGTCCACCAGCTTGTCTACATCAACATCAACTAGTGTGAGTACACCATCTACGTCATTGTCTACCACTTCTTCAAGTGTCAGTACGAGTACATCAACATCAGTATCCACCAGTGTGTCGAGATCACTGAGCACTAGCACGTCGACATCGACCTCAGCATCCACCAGGTATCTTTTTGTAAATGTCGTATGTGGTGTGTTATTTTAAAGGGATAAAATGTGATTTTTTTCTTCCTTTTGGATAATTTTATAGAAACTTGTTAGAGATTTTGGTCAAGTATTGAATGTGATATAGTACGAAGAAATTCTAGGGGGACATTTTCTTAAACTCATTGTGTAACAAATGTAGAAAAGGTCGTGCTTTGGTGTGTCTCTCAAAAGAAAACTGTGCAAAAACAGCATAATATCCTTGTCTCTGGAAATTATCTTTGTGTTTTTCAGCTACAAAAAAGAGGAGTGAGGGTGATTTCCGATGCTTATTACTAGGCGTCTCGTATTACGTTTTTTAATAGTCTACAGTAGCTTCCTTTTTATGAAGAAGGGAAAATAGCTAAATGTTGTGTTGCATACAAACGCATTAAGGGAAGAGTTCCCTTATATATTGAAGACTACTTAGGAATCAACAGTCAGCAACATAGTTGTGTAACTAGATGTAGTAATATAAACTTTATTTGCCCAAAATCTAATTGAAGACTACTTAGGAATCAACAGTCAGCAACATAGTTGTGTAACTAGATGTAGTAATATAAACTTTATTTGCCCAAAATCTAATCGGCTGACCGAAGTCGGTAAGACATTCGCAGCTGCTACTTGTCAACTTTGGAATGGCTTAAGCCTTGATCTTAGAAATGCATTATCATTGGTATCCTTCTTCAAAGAGAAGCAAGAACTACACCATTTCATAGTTTAGTCGTATTTTGTATATATTTCCTTAGCCATATCATTAGCTTTTATACTTGTTTATATGAATGCCGAACTTCTGTATTTGCTTAGTTTTATTTATTTTGTACTTTGATTTTGTATATTCGGAATATGTTGTCGTAATTGCAATTTTTTAGATAGAGGGCCATGAGTTTACTAGTTTCTGTAACTATTCCGTGCTACACTCTTAAAATACAGCGTATTATTATTATTACTATTATTTTGCAAGAAAGTAATCATGAGATTTGTTCGTAAATGTTAATTTTACAACGAGATAGATATCTCAAATATTAAAAATTTGTTTCGTACAATCGTGGTCATAAGAGCTTGAGCTCATGTTGCGCTAATTTAAATGCAAGGTTTGCTCACAATTCTTGATATCTTGTGAATAACGGTTTCTTTGCATCAGTTTGAGAAGGTGAGCGTGTTTGTCTTAGAAATAGTGCATCATGTGCCTAAAAAAAAAGATCACCATCTTTGAGCCCGCTTGATTAAGTTCCCCACACATAAATAAGAACTCGTGTTTCAATAAATGTAATATGGAGAGAAGCAGTACTTACATTTTATGTTCGTGCATGACTCATCTTTCTCTCTAACAAGGCCATAGGTCTTAGTAGAGCTGTTACATTGATTAGAAAGAGAAAATAGTATTTACAGCGTTGGTGGGCTAACAAATCCTTTTTTTTTCCATTCTAAGCGCTGGGAAGCGTTTTTCTTCTACATTTAACTCAATTTTTGGCGATAACTAGATATTTATGAGGGACTGCAGGGATTCTTTTAGGTTGAAGTGCAAGGCTCTTCGATATTGAGCGTGATGAGCCCTTGTGTAACTATATTCCTGTTGTTTATTATTTTCAGTGTTTCAACTTCAATCTCAATTAGTACAAGCTTGAGTTCGAGTGCGTCGATATCAACTACAACAAGTGCATCCATTCCCACCTCTATCAGCACAAGGTTAGTTTATGAAAGTTTGAGAAGGATGAGAGGTGCTTGCGATCCTTCAAATTGCTATTAGTAGCAATTCAGGTTAGCAAAGTTTTTAAATATGGTTTATATCATCTTTCAGCATTTCTACTTCAAGGTCCACTACAGTGTCAGCATCGTCATATCAATCGGTTTCTGAGAAAACTGCAGTCACTTTTTTCCCGTCATCTGCTTACAGTCGGTCCTCTAATGTACAGTATTCAATACCTACATCAAGTAGGAAGCCGCCGAGTTTGAAGCCTCCGAGGAGATCCTCTACATCAAGTGTCTCATCTTCAAGGTAATTAGATTAAGAAGTGGAATTTTTATTAAGGGACTGAAGACAAGTGAAAACACGCAACAAAAGTTTTGTTTTTACTAAACTTCTTCGGGATTTAAGTTAAAAAATGGTTCTTTACAGGTACCATAGACCCTTTTCTTTTAGTCAAGTGAATTCTACAGACACAGATCACGGTTTTTTTTGATGAAGAAGGAGAATCAGATGGCATGGAAGGAATCGAAAATAGGGTGGGATGTGTTTAGTATACCCATGTAATGGTACTTCGGAGGAGCCATTTACTCCTTACTCCCTCAAACGAAATACTTTTACTGCCTCTAAAAGGCGATGAGCTTACAGTTAGGTCTAGCTACAATTGCTGCGTAAAATTACTCTTCTAGGCACATTCCAGAAAAAAACACACAATTGACATGTATTAACTTCAATGATGCATCTCAATTTTCTTTTAATTTAATTTTGTTAACTCAAGCACATCTACATCAACATCAAAATCAACATCTTTGAGTTCAAGTAAGTCGACAAGTATAACGACATCAGCGAGTACCAGTACATCCACCTCAACCTTAAAGAGCGTCAGCACGCCAACAACCACAGTTTTCTCGACGTATTCCAGTGCCAGCACAAGTACCTCAACATCAGTGTCCACCAGTGTATCGACTTCAACCTCAACTAGTGTAAGCAGTCCAACTACATCGGTTTCCACGATATATTCAAGTGGCAGCAAAAGTTATTCAACTTCAGTATCCACCTCTGTGTCTACTTCGATGTCAACTAGCTTATCGAGATCGCGTAGCACCAGTAGATCTACATCAAAATCGACATCAACTAGTGTCAGTACTCCAACAACCACAGTGTTCTCGACATATTCCAGTGCCAGCACAAGTACCTCAACGTCAGTATCCACCAGTGTGTCTACTTCCACCTCATCAAGTGTGAGCACTCCAACAACATCAGTCTCAACGACATACTCAAGTGGCAGCAAAAGTTATTCAACTTCAATATCCACAAGTTTATCAACGTCGACATCAACGAGCTTTTCCACATCAGTTACTGCCAGTACATCCAAGTCGACTTCAGCATCATCAAGTCTAAGTACTCCAACAACCACAGTATTCTCAACCTATTCAAGTGCCAGCGTAAGTACGTCAATATCGGTGTCGAAAAGTACTTCAACATCAGTGTCCACCAGTGTGTCTACTTCCACTTCAACTAGTGTAAGTACGCCAACAACGTCAGTTTCCACTACATTGTCTAGTGGGAGTAAGAGTACTTCAGCATCGGTATCCACCAGTGTATCAAAATCAATGTCAACTAGTGTAAGTACACCAACAACGTCAATTTCCACCACATTGTCAAGTGCCAGTACAAGTACTTCCACATCAGTGTCGACTAGTGTGTCTACATCCACCTCAAGTAGTGTGAGTACACCAACAACGTCTGTTTCCACCACATTGTCAAGTGCCAGCACAAGTACTTCAACGTCAATATCTTCCAGTGTGTCTACTTCAGCATCAACAAGTAAGTCGAAATCAACTTCAACCTCTGCTTCAACAACAAGTGCTTCAACGTCCCTTAGCACAAGCACCTCAGCATCAAAAAGTGTTAGTACACCAACTACGACAGTTTACTCGACATACTTAAGTGCGAGCACAAGTACTTCAACATCAGTATCCACCAGTGCATCTACATCAACGTCAACTAGTGTGAGTACGCCAACAACATCGGTGTCCAAGACCTTGTCAAGTGTGAGTACAAGTACATCAACATCAGTATCCACCAGCGTGTCTACATCAACATCAACAAGTGTGAGCACACCAACAACGTCGATTTCTACAACATTGTCAAGTGCGAGTTTAAGTACATCAACATCAGTATCCACCAGTGTATCTACATCAACGTCAACTAGTGTGAGTACGCCAACCACGTCAGTTTCCACGACACTGTCAAGTGCCAGCACAAGTACTTCAACATCATTATCCACAAGCATGTCCACATCAACATCAACAAGTGTGAGCACAGCAACAACGTCAATTTCTTCTACTTTGTCAAGTGCCAGCACTAGTACTTCAACATCAGTGTCGACCAGCGTGTCTACATCCACCTCAACTAGTGTGAGTACACCAACCACGTCAACGTCCACGACATTGTCAAGTGCCAGCACAAGTACTTCAACGTCAATATCTTCCAGTGTGTCTACTTCAGCATCAACAAGTAAGTCGAAATCAACTTCAACCTCTGCTTCAACAACAAGTGCTTCAACGTCCCTTAGCACAAGCACCTCAGCATCAAAAAGTGTTAGTACACCAACTACGACAGTTTTCTCGACATACTCAAGTGCGAGCACAAGTACTTCAACATCAGTATCCACCAGTGCATCTACATCAACGTCAACTAGTGTGAGTACGCCAACAACATCGGTGTCCAAGACCTTATCAAGTGCGAGTACAAGTACATCAACATCAGTATCCACCAGCGTGTCTACATCAACATCAACAAGTGTGAGCACACCAACAACGTCGATTTCTACAACATTGTCAAGTGCGAGTTTAAGTACATCAACATCAGTATCCACCAGTGTATCTACATCAACGTCAACTAGTGTGAGTACGCCAACCACGTCAGTTTCCACGACACTGTCAAGTGCCAGCACAAGTACTTCAACATCATTATCCACAAGCGTGTCCACATCAACATCAACAAGTGTGAGCACAGCAACAACGTCAATTTCTTCTACTTTGTCAAGTGCCAGCACTAGTACTTCAACATCAGTGTCGACCAGCGTGTCTACATCCACCTCAACTAGTGTGAGTACACCAACCACGTCAACGTCCACGACATTGTCAAGTGCCAGCACAAGTACTTCAACGTCAATATCTTCCAGTGTGTCTACTTCAGCATCAACAAGTAAGTCGAAATCAACTTCAACCTCTGCTTCAACATCAACTAGTGCTTCAACGTCCCATAGCACAAGCACCTCAACATCGACATCAGCAAGTGTAAGCACACCAACTACGACAGTTTTCTCGACATACTCAAGTGCGAGCACAAGTACTTCAACATCAGTATCCATCAGTGTATCTACATCAACGTCAACTAGTGTAAGTACGCCAACAACATCGGTGTCCAAGACCTTGTCAAGTGCGAGTACAAGTACATCAACATCAGTATCTACCAGTGTGTCTACTTCAACCTCAACAAGTGTAAGCACACCAACGACGTCAATTTCCACTACATTGTCAAGTGCCAGTACAAGTACTTCAACATCAGTGTCCACCAGCGTGTCCACATCAATATCAACAACTGTGAGCACACCAACAACGTCAATTTCTACTACTTTGTCAAGTGCCAGTACTAGTACTTCAACATCAGTGTCGACTAGTGTGTCTACATCTACGTCAACCAGTGTGAGTACACCAACAACGTCAGTGTCCACGACATTGTCAAGTGCCAGCACAAGTAGTTCAACATCAGTATCCACCAGTGTGTCTACATCAACAGGAACAAGTGTGAGTACACCAACAACTTCAATTTCTTCTACTTTGTCAAGTGCCAGTACTAGTACATCAGCATCAGTGTCCACCAGCTTGTCTACTGCCACGTCAGCTAGTGTCAGCACACCAACAACGTCGGTTTCTTCGACTTATTCTAGTGGCAGTTCAAGTTACTCAAAGTCAATTAGCACCAGTTTGTCTATTTCGACCTCAAGAAGTGTGTCCACATCGCTGAGCACAAGCACGTCTAAGTCAACTTCAGCATCCACAAGGTATGGTAATGGAAATATTTTGGCTTTTTTAAAACGTTTTTAGGAATTGATATTACTTTTTACTACGTTTTACCTGGGGAGGGGGGGGGCTGGAAGGTTCTTCTTAAAGAAATTATTTAGGGGAAAGAAAATGTCGGAAACATTATACTTTGCTGTTCCTGAAATTAAAACTTCAAAAATATAGAGCGTTGCTCTTTGACCTGGAAGTTCATTTTAATCATAATATGATCATTATAATGTGTTGTAAATGTTAATCTAGAAGTTCATTGTCATAGGAGCTTGCACCCTTGAGAAGGTCACTATCTTTAAGCGTGGTTGGATCAGTTCTGACACAAATATGAGCTCGTGTTTGGCTGAATTTTATTTGGGAAAAAGCAGTTCTTTCCTTTTAGGTTCTCACAAGAGTCATCAAATGAGGCGGTAGGTCCATGTAGAACTGTTATGTTGATTACTCAGAGAACTTAACAGTTAAAATGTTGCTAGGATAATTAAGCATCTCTTTTGCCAATCCGGACTTTTATTTCCAGCTTTGGTGATTAGGAAGGATTTACGAAGAAGTGCAGGGACTCCCTTTGATGAATGTTCAATTGGGCATCATTCCCCTTGGGGAGGTCACTATCTTGAAGCCTGGTTGGATCAGTTCCCATACAAAAACGAGTTCGTGCTTGGCTGAATTTTATATGGGAAAATGTTCAAAGTTGTATAATTGCATTCTTATTGTATTTTACTTCTAGTGTTTCAACCTCAATCTCGATTGGTACAAGCTTAAGCTCGAGTGCCTTGACTTCAACTTCAACAAGTGCATCTACCACCACCTATATCAGCAGAAGGTTAGTTTATGGAAACCTGTAAAGTAGAAGAGATGGTTAAGAGTCACTAGAAGTTTAACCGGGAGAAACTCTAGCTTCTTGATTGCCCTCGTGGAGAAATCAGCGAACTTTGAACTGACACCTGGACCAGATTTCTCAGAAAGTATTTAGCCTACCAGTGTTAATGTTGCAAAATTGTCTTTTGCCCGGTTAAGCTAAAAACTCTTCAAAATAAGTAATGCTGAAAGAAGATTACCCTGAAAAAATATCGTTTCTCCTATGCTCGGCTCTTTCTTGTTCAGCATTGGCGGAAGAAAGGGGTTGCAAGGTAATTATGGGGTGGCAAGTCATTTCTGGAACATAATGTTGTCGTGACACTTCTAGTATTTTTCTTCCAGTTCTAACCCTAACACTAGCACTGATTTTAATATATCAAAACTCGAGGCATGACTAAGTATAATTCGGCCATGCATGCGACGATCTGGTGTTTCAAGCAATTGGTTTTCTTTTGTTATTGTCGGCACTGGACACCAGCAGAAACTGAAACGACTGCAATAAAGAACAGAAACGAAGGAGACTGGACGAAAACTGGTTCAGGGACATTTTTTCCCATCCCTGAGACAAAACTGAAACTTGCTACTGTTATACGGACAGAACGCTCAGCAACACCAAAACAGATCCCAACCAAGGCTATCGTATGCAGCGTTGAGGCGGCTCTGTCTCGACAACGAAAGGTATCTGAATCGACCAAGGATAACATCAGAAGCAGAATTGCTTCCACTACACAATCAACATCACTACATGACAGCAGTTTGGCTAAAGACGAACAACACACGCAGAAACACGAGTAAAACAAAGTCATACTACTAGCCAACAAAGGATGAATTACCGTTTTCATGGACAAGACTATCAATCACGAAAAAATGAATGGACTACTCATCGACAAACAAAGATAAGCTACAGTCTGCTCAGGACTTCATTAACGCCTTTACTAACGACAGCAGTCCTCCTCAGGACTACACTCACTCAATCGATCTGACCACACTATCACGAACATTGTTTAGTTTGTACCGAGTGAGAATAGTTGCTTCTCAGGTGATAATCAATTCTTCTTAATGTCCAGAAAAGTTAGTGTCAAACATTTTGTTCAGTTGTTTACCGTAATTTTTGTTTTACTATTAAGTATATCAACGTCAACCTCAACTAGTACAAGTTTGAGCTCCAGTACGTCGACATTAACCACAACAAGTGTATCCACTTCCACAAGCGTAAGGTTAGTTTTCGTCTGCTTTTGTTTTTAATTAGTAGTTTAGGAGGCTTGTATAGCTGGAATGATACTAAAGGAAAACAGTCCCCTGAGTATGTTTCACGTTGGTTTTTGTACTGTGATGCTTATCAGAAATATTTATGAAACTTCACTCATTCGAACACATTTGTAGTCATGGGTTTTTAACTAAGCAAAGTTCTCTGAAATTTCGCTGTTGGTAGTTCAGTTTGGTAACAACTGAAACTGTAGTAGCCATGTAATTGTAGCTGAATGTTTCAACTGATGAATTTGTACACCTGATATCAAAGGTGTATTTTGCGATCTGCTAAATAATCGAATTAGGAATTTCCTTTTTCCACTATTACCTCATTTTCTAATTTTGGGACCATCTCAAAGCATTGTCAGGCAATCTTAATAATCGCATGAGGCACGTGAAAAACATAAATATGTTTTGATACAAAGCTCTTTGCTGAAAAAGTCAACCTAAGTGAGGTAAACAAATCAAAGCTTTGGATCGTCAAAAGCGGCCATTTTTTTTCTGCGTTCTATCCTTTCACGCCCTGTCGCCCTAATTTGGTAAAATGGTGCAACAGTGGAACAAAAAGCTAGTGGTTTGAGTGGTGCGTCGGGTGACGTTGTTCCTTATGATGGTGGTGGATTAGCTTGCAATTGGTTAGTATGGTTCCATGTTACAGAGACTGCAATGAAAGAGGGATGGTATTAGCTATAAGTGAATGAAAGCCTGCACAAATCAAAGATATATAAACGATACTGCAGCTATGCAGTATCGACAAAAATGAAATAGTCGTGTTTGTAGGGGGAGTGATAATCAAGTTTACACAATTTCAATGAGGTACACGCATCATGTTTGGGCATTAAGTCTAAACTGAAAATATGATCTAAGTGCGAGATGTTCAATTACTGATATTGCTGGTGCTGCTGCTGGTGCTGTTTTTGATGATAATGATGGTGTTGACAACAAGGGGGAGAATTATGATGATGACGATGGTAGTGGTGTTGGACGAGAGTTTTTGGCAATGTTTTAAGATAAGGTGTATATCGTCTTTCAGCATTCCTACTTCAAGGTCCACTACAGTTTCATCATCGTCATATCAATCGGTTTCTGAGAAGACGGCAGTCACGTTTTTCCCGTCATCTGCACACAGTCGGTCCTCTAATGTACAGTATTCAATACCTACATCAAGTAGGAAGCCGCCGAGTTTGAAGCCTCCGAGGAGATCCTCTACATCAAGTGTCTCATCTTCTAGGTAATTAGATTAAGAATTGGAATTTTTTATCAAGAGATTGAAGACAAGTGAAAACACGCAACAAAAGTTTTGTTTTTACTTAACTTATTCGGTATTTAAATTAGAAAAATGGCTCCCTATAGGTGTCATAGACCCTTTTTTTTTAAGTCAAGTGAATTCTACAAAGACAGATCACGGTTTTTGTGATGAAGAAGGAGAATCAGATGGCATGGGAGGAATCAAAACTAGGGTGGGATGTGTTTAGTATACCTATATAATGGTGCTTCATAGGAGCAATTTACTCCTGCTTTCTTGGTGCAAAAAGTTCAGTTGCTTTCCCTCAAACAAAATACTCTTACTGTCACTAAAAGGCAATGAGCTCACAGCTAGGTCAGGCTACAAATGCTGCTAAAATTACTCTTCTAGGCACATTCCAGAAAAACCTACAATTGTCATGTATTAACCTCAATGATGCATCTCAATTTCCTTTTAAATTAATTTTGTTAACTCAAGCACGTCTACATCAACATCGCGATCAACATCTTTGAGTTCAAGTAAGTCAACAAGTGTGACGACATCAGCGAGCAGCAGTACATCCACCTCAACCTCAAAAAGTGTCAGTACACCGACAACCACAGTTTTCTCAACATATTCCAGTGTCAGCACAAGTACCTCAAAATCAGTATCCACCAGTGTGTCTACCTCAACCTCGACTAGTGTGAGCAATCCAACCACATCACTTTCAACGACATATTCAAGTGGCAGCAAAAGTTATTCAACTTCAGTATCCACCAGTGTATCAACTTCAACATCGACGAGCATATCGACATCACATAGCACCAGTGCATCCACATCAAAATCGACATCAACTAGTGTCAGTACTCCAACAACCACAGTTTTCTCAACATATTCCAGTGCCAGCACAAGTACCTCAACATCTGTATCCACTAGTGTGTTTACCTCAACTATTGTGAGTACAGCTACAACATCGGTATCCTCTCCTTTGTCAAGTGCCAGCACGAGTACTTCAACGTCAATATCCACCAGTGTGTCTACATCAACCTCAACCTCTGCTTCAAAATCAACCAGTGTTTCAACTTCCATTAGCTCAAGCACCTCTACCTCAACAAGTTTTAGCACTCCAACTACAACAGTTTTCTCGACATACTCCAGTGCCAGCACAAGTACCTCAACATCAATATCCACTAGTGTGTCGTCTTCAACCTCAACTAGTGTAAGCACACCAACAACGTCAGTTTCCACTTATTCGAGTGGTAGCAAAAGTTATTCAACTTCAGCATCCTCAACAACAAGGAAGTCAAAATCGATCTCATCCTCTGCCTCAACATCAACTAGTGTGTCAACTTCTGTTAGCACAAGCACCCCTTCATCAACATCTACAAGTGTCAGTACACCAACCACAACAGTATTCCCTACATACTCAAGTGCCAGCACAAGCACCTCGACATTAATATCCACCAGTATGTCCACCTCAACGTCAACTAGTGTGAGTACACCAACGACATTGGTTTCCAAGACATTTTCAATTGCAAGCACGAGTACTTCGAAGTCAGTGACCACCAGTGTGTCTACGTCCACTTCTACATCTGTTTCAACATCGACCTCACCCAGTTCAAGTAAATCAAAAAGTGTATCAACATCACTAAGCACAAGCACTTCCATATCAACCTCAACAAGTGTTAGTACACCAACAACCACAGTTTTCTCTACGTATTCCAGTGCCAGTACAAGTACCTCAACATCAATATCCACCAGTGTGTCCACTTCAACCTCAACGAGTGTGAGCACTCCAACAACATCGGTGTCTACGACATTTTCCAGTGCAAGAAGTTCAACATCAGTGTCCACCAGTGTGTCTACCTCAACTTCGAGCTCTGCTTCAATATCAAGTAGTGTTTCAACTTCTGTTAGCAGAAGCACCTCCACGTCAACATCGGCAAGTGTCAGTACACCAACTACAACAATTTTCTCGACGTACTCAAGTGTCAGCACCAGTGCGTCAACATCAATATCCACTAGTGTGTATACCTCAACCTCAACTAGTGTGAGTACACCAACGACATCGGTTTCTAAGACATTGTCGAGTACCAGCACAAGTACCTCGACATCAGTATCTACGAGTGTGTCTACGTCCACCTCTACATCTGTTTCAACATCGACTTCAACCTCAAGAAGTGTTAGTAAGTCTACAAGTGTTTCAAAAAGTACATCAATATCAGTTAGCACTAGCATATCAAAGACGACCCCAACAAGCACATCGACATCCACTAGTACAAGTACGTCGAAGTCAACAAGTGTGTCCACTTTCATATCTTCTAGCACCAGGTGCGTGTGTGCTATTCTTGCTTCATTATCTTTAAGGTTGGATGTTTTTGATCAAAGGCGATTTGCCTGGTATATTGCTTGTTAACCTAGGGGGAAAAATATCATACATATTCTAGAATTGTGCTTAGGTCATATCACCTGTTTCCTTTTTCCTTCACCGAAAACATCGCAACGTCTTTGAAAAAGGGTTGCGCTTCCTTATCGTGGTAGTGTTTTTTCGTTTTCCCAAGAAGGAAATGTACTTGAATATAAAGAATTACATCTTCACTTTTAGATTAGCAAGCGTCTTACAGCAAAAAGATCTTATTTCTGCTGTGCATTGATATTCCTCGAGGACACTTCCATGATTATGACGACGATAATAGTTATGACCTTTTTCAACCTCATTTTCAATTTTGTCATACGTAAATGATTGAGCACGGAAGTTGAAGAAACAGAAAATAATTTGTAATATATTGGAAGCCATCTATGCAGGAAAAAAAACACATTGAAGAATGTGAACGCTGAAAGGTGACTCCAAAAGGTCACCCTTTTCTCGAAGAGATCATCCTGCACTTTTGGATAGGTGCTGGGGTTGATGTAAAGGGTTATGATACATTGTCCTTGGACAGTGTTTTGCAATTAGCTTGAGATTGAGATGGGCATCATGTGATGGGGAGTATGGCGAAGCCTGAAGCAGTTGTAAGGCTGAGAAAGCGGTGGCAAATAATCCAATTGTACTTGTATAAATCTAGTAGTCCTTATAAACTTAACTACCTGGCAAGTTCATGGCGTGCATAGATGGCGATTGTTATAGCTAATCAGATGGCAAAATTTGTTATTGAACGCAGTTACATTTATACTTGAATGCACTGGGATGTGATTCTGCTTCAAGGATGAGAAATGCCATTGAGGTCAAATTGCCGTTGATGATGTAGATTGAGACGATGATGATGATGTTGATGATAATAATGGTAGCGGTGATGATGGTTGTGGCAATGGTGCTGTGCAATTTAAGATGATCTGGACGGTAAAAGAAGAAATTTGCAGAAGATTTAAAAATAAAATTATGACACTGACTGTGTTTTGAGATTCTAAAGAGTAACGTCACCATTAGAAACATGTCTGCAAATTTGTTTAGATTCGAAAAGGATTACGCCCTGAAGAATAGTGCTTATCACATTGGCCGCTAATCTGTAACATTATTGACTTCAGCTTACATGGCTGCACTGGAAGGTTGAACTAATTGAAAACAGAAGGTGAAGCTGTTTAAAGATTCGCACGGTTTGGTTTCCAGCCTTGTTACTAAGTTGTTCAAAATGGCGGTAGTGATTAAAAAATGGGACTCCCGCTTCGCAGTCATCCAATCTTGTTAATCACTTGCATTGTTACAGACTGAATTGGACTCCATTTAGTCCTGTTACCATTACATACTAATAGCAGATGTAACCATCATAATTATACTGTGTTATAAATGTCAGGGATTTGGGATTAGGAAAGGGGGGATTTTCCTGAAATATGAAGTGTGATGTCAAAGTGGTCACTGGTGAATTGTTTTGTTCCACTTGGTTAGCTCGATGTCCTCGTCATATCAATCAGTTTCTGAGAAGACTACAGGCACTGTTTTCCCATCTAGTGCACTAACAAGAAGTACAGGGACACAGTATTCTATACCTACATCGAGTAGAAAGCCACCAAGTTTGAAGCCGCCGGCACGATCATCCACATCAAGGTTGTTGCATTTACATTTACCTTTCAATTGTGAAGGTTGGTGAGGGAGCATGAACCCATCTACTCCAACCTTCACGCATGGAGTGCAGTTAGAGATGAAAGAGGGGATTTTACGATACTTGGCTAGCTGTTGGGAGGATGGTTGAGGAGGGGAGGGGAAGGAGTTTTATTGTAAGCCAAAGGAATGGGACTAAGGAAAGGAAGTGGTGGGGAAGTATTGAATACAGTTATCTTTACCAGGCAGATTCTTGACTTAACCTTAAACAACAGCTCTTGGTTGCTTTGTGGTTTACAACCTAAATTTTGCGATGCTTCATACCTTACTGTATCCAAATAGGTACATTTCCCAAAAAAAGCAAAAGTGAATGCCGAAAGCACCAAAACGAAATCCAGCCCTTCACTCGTAAAATCACTTCACTCCTCACAGCCCCTCACTCATTCAATCCGAACCACATATGGTAGATATGATTTCTCACGCTGATGCTCAAAATTTTTAATCTAAAACGATAAAATCGTATTGAATATGCGAAACAAAGAACTATTCACAACAGATGTCTTGTTTCCTTTATTTATCAACCATGCATTGTTCCTAGAAATAAACGTAGTGGCTGACATGAATCAGGAATTAATGGAGTTCTGAAAAATCAGATGGAAGTTCAAGGCATTGATATGATGTTGAAGTAGAATACATTAGGTTTTTAATATGATAGCAATTACATTTAACGATGCAATAAATGCTAGGTCTTTTCGTTAAGATTTCTGTACTTTGCATGCTTTCTTAACAGTGTATCAACCTCTAAAAGTTCTAGTAAGTCAACAAGTGTCAGTACAAGCACCTCAACATCAGCGTCCACAAGTGTGTCCACTTCGACCTCAGCAACTGTGAGCACTCCAATGACATCAGTTTCAAAGACATATTCCAGTGCAAGCACAAGTACTTCAACATCCGTATCCACAAGTGTGTCTGCTTCAACCTCAACTAGTGTGAGCACTCCAACAACGTCAGTTTCCAAAACTCTTTCAAGTGCAAGCACAAGTATCTCAACTTCAGTGTCTACGAGTGTGTCTACATCCACCTCTACATCTGTTTCACCATCGACTTCATTGAGTTCGAGTAAGTCAACAAGTACCTCAACATCGGTTAGTACCAGTACAACCAAGTCAACATCAACAAGTGTCAGCACTCCAACAACCACAGTGTTCTCGACATATTCCAGTGCCAGCACTAGCACCTCAACGTCAATTAGCATCAGTGTGTCCACTTCGACCTCAACAAGTTTAAGCACACCCACCACATCTGCTTCCACGACATATTCCAGTGGCAGCAAGAGTTATTCCACTTCAGTGTCCACCAGTGTGTCTACCTCAACGTCAACAAGTAAGTCGAAATCCACCTCAACCTCTGCCTCAACATCAACTAGTATTTCAACTTCTGTTAGCACAAGCACCTCCACGTCAACATCTACAAGTGTCAGTACACCACCAACAACAATATTCTCGACATATTCAAGTGCCAGCACAAGTAGCTCATCATCAATATCGACCAGTGTGTCTACCTCAACGTCAACTAGTGTGAGTATACCGACAACATTGGTTTCTAAGACATTGTCAAGTGCCAGCACAAGTACTTCGACATCAGTGTCTACGAGTGTGTCCACATCCACCTCTACATCTGTTTCACCATCGACTTCACTGAGTTCGAGTAAGTCAACAAGTACCTCAACATCGGCTAGTACCAGTACAACCAAGTCAACATCAACAAGTGTCAGCACTCCAACAACCACAGTGTTCTCGACATATTCCAGTACCAGCACTAGCGCCTCAACGTCAATTAGCACCAGTGTGTCTACTTCGACCTCAACAAGTTTAAGCACACCCACCACATCTGCTTCCACGACATATTCCAGTGGCAGCAAGAGTTATTCCACTTCAGTGTCCACCAGTGTGTCTACCTCAACGTCAACAAGTAAGTCGAAATCAGCCTCAACCTCTGCCTCAACATCAACTAGTATTTCAACTTCTGTTAGCACAAGCACCTTCACGTCAACATCTACAAGTGTCAGTACACCAACAACAACAATATTCTCGACATATTCAAGTGCCAGCACAAGTAGCTCATCATCAATATCGACCAGTGTGTCTACCTCAACGTCAACTAGTGTGAGTATACCGACAACATTGGTTTCTAAGACATTGTCAAGTGCCAGCACAAGTACTTCGACATCAGTGTCTACGAGTGTGTCTACATCCACCTCTACATCTGTTTCACCATCGACTTCATTGAGTTCAAGGAAGTCAATAAGTACCTCAACATCGGCTAGTACCAGTAAAACCAAGTCAACATCAACAAGTGTCAGCACTCCAACAACCACAGTGTTCTCGACATATTCCAGTGCCAGCACTAGCGCCTCATCGTCAATTAGCACCAGTGTGTCCACTTCGACCTCAACAAGTTTAAGCACACCCACCACATCTGCTTCCACGACATATTCCAGTGGCAGCAAGAGTTATTCCACTTCAGTGTCCACCAGTGTGTCTACCTCAACGTCAACAAGTAAGTCGAAATCCACCTCAACCTCTGCCTCAACATCAACTAGTATTTCAACTTCTGTTAGCACAAGCACCTTCACGTCAACATCTACAAGTGTCAGTACACCACCAACAACAATATTCTCGACATATTCAAGTGCCAGCACAAGTAGCTCATCATCAATATCGACCAGTGTGTCTACCTCAACGTCAACTAGTGTGAGTATACCGACAACATTGGTTTCTAAGACATTGTCAAGTGCCAGCACAAGTACTTCGACATCAGTGTCTACGAGTGTGTCTACATCCACTTCTACATCTGTTTCACCATCGACTTCATTGAGTTCAAGTAAGTCAACAAGTACCTCAACATCGGCTAGTACCAGTACAACCAAGTCAACATCAACAAGTGTCAGCACTCCAACAACCACAGTGTTCTCGTCATATTCCAGTGCCAGCACTAGCGCCTCAACGTCAATTAGCACCAGTGTGTCCACTTCGACCTCAACAAGTTTAAGCACACCCACCACATCTGCTTCCACGACATATTCCAGTGGCAGCAAGAGTTATTCCACTTCAGTGTCCACCAGTGTGTCTACCTCAACGTCAACAAGTAAGTCGAAATCAACCTCAACCTCTGCCTCAACATCAACTAGTATTTCAACTTCTGTTAGCACAAGCACCTCCACGTCAACATCTACAAGTGTCAGTACACCACCAACAACAATATTCTCGACATATTCAAGTGCCAGCACAAGTAGCTCATCATCAATATCGACCAGTGTGTCTACCTCAACGTCAACTAGTGTGAGTATACCGACAACATTGGTTTCTAAGACATTGTCAAGTGCCAGCACAAGTACTTCGACATCAGTGTCTACGAGTGTGTCTACATCCACTTCTACATCTGTTTCACCATCGACTTCATTGAGTTCGAGTAAGTCAACAAGTACCTCAACATCGGCTAGTACCAGTACAACCAAGTCAACATCAACAAGTGTCAGCACTCCAACAACCACAGTGTTCTCGACATATTCCAGTGCCAGCACTAGCACCTCAACGTCAATTAGCACCAGTGTGTCCACTTCGACCTCAACAAGTTTAAGCACACCCACCACATCTGCTTCCACGACATATTCCAGTGGCAGCAAGAGTTATTCCACTTCAGTGTCCACCAGTGTGTCTACCTCAACGTCAACAAGTAAGTCGAAATCCACCTCAACCTCTGCCTCAACATCAACTAGTATTTCAACTTCTGTTAGCACAAGCACCTTCACGTCAACATCTACAAGTGTAAGTACACCAACAACAACAATATTCTCGACATATTCAAGTGCCAGCACAAGTAGCTCATCATCAATATCGACCAGTGTGTCTACCTCAACGTCAACTAGTGTGAGTATACCGACAACATTGGTTTCTAAGACATTGTCAAGTGCCAGCACAAGTACTTCGACATCAGTGTCTACGAGTGTGTCTACATCCACCTCTACATCTGTTTCACCATCGACTTCATTGAGTTCAAGTAAGTCAACAAGTACCTCAACATCGGCTAGTACCAGTACAACCAAGTCAACATCAACAAGTGTCAGCACTCCAACAACCACAGTGTTCTCGACATATTCCAGTGCCAGCACTAGCGCCTCAACGTCAATTAGCACCAGTGTGTCCACTTCGACCTCAACAAGTTTAAGCACACCCACCACATCTGCTTCCACGACATATTCCAGTGGCAGCAAGAGTTATTCCACTTCAGTGTCCACCAGTGTGTCTACCTCAACGTCAACAAGTAAGTCGAAATCAACCTCAACCTCTGCCTCAACATCAACTAGTATTTCAACTTCTGTTAGCACAAGCACCTCCACGTCAACATCTACAAGTGTCAGTACACCAACAACAACAATATTCTCGACATATTCAAGTGCCAGCACAAGTAGCTCATCATCAATATCGACCAGTGTGTCTACCTCAACGTCAACTAGTGTGAGTATACCGACAACATTGGTTTCTAAGACATTGTCAAGTGCCAGCACAAGTACTTCGACATCAGTGTCTACGAGTGTGTCTACATCCACCTCTACATCTGTTTCACCATCGACTTCACTGAGTTCGAGTAAGTCAACAAGTACCTCAAAATCGGCAAGTACAAGTACAACCAAGTCAACATCAACAAGTGTCAGCACTCCAACAACCACAGTGTTCTCGACATATTCCAGTGCTAGCACGAGCACTTCGACGTCAATTAGTACTAGTGTGTCTACGTCGACCTCAACTAGTGTGAGCACTCCAACAACGTCAGTGTCCACGACAATATCAAGTGCCAGCACAAGTACTTCAACTTCAGTATCTACAAGTATATCAACTTCAACCTCGAAATCGATTTCAAGATCGACTTCATTGAGTTCAAGTAAGTCAACAAGTGCCTCAACGTCACTTAGCATCAGCACTTCCACATCAACATCAACAAGTGTCAGCAGCAGTATCAGTGTCAGCACATCAGTATCAACGAGTGCGTCTACATCAGTATCTACTTCAACATTAACAACCTTGTCTCGGTGAGTCGCTTAGAATAAGTTTCAAATATCGTTGAAAACAAGTCTACTTGGTCAAAGAATGTAGTAATCGCACAATTACCTACGTGAATATAGTTTTCTATGTTTTTTTCTTACTTTTGGGGGGGGGGATGGGGAAAGGGATAAGAAGAAAGTTGAAAACCAGCTGAGCCAGCACGGAAGCGAATGAAGCGTCGTAAGGCTTTTTCCAAGGATGATAGTTTTCAACTGCATGTTAGGTCTTGTTGTGATGTACTGGCCTTCTTACCCATGTAGTCTCAAAGTTTTCTTTTTGGGGAAAAGAATTTAAAACGCGTACATTGAAAATTTTGTTGAAGAGGCATGCTTGTATTTTAGCTTCACCAGTTTGGTGACAACGACGACGCCAACCTTCACGACATCTGTTTCTTCATCGGCTTCAACGAGTCTGTCGAGCTCAATCAGTCCATCGCTGTCCTCCTCTGTTTCAACATCGTTTAGTGTCTGTAAGTGTCAATAGTAACTATTCTTTTTATACTCAGCAGACTCGAATTGAGATATGCTCCGTGTGTACTTACCTTTTGTTAGATTTCTTACATTGCGATTTTGTCGAGTGTCAGTGTTGATTCCTCTCTGTTGAAGAAAATACCTCTTCATCGTTATTATGGGTACTGTCATAATTACACAAAGCAATGGTTGAGTTACATTTTCCTCGAAAAATTTAGTCCTTATTAAAAGTTGTAAATTTCCTAAAATTTCTGAAAATTCTCACTGGATAAAAAATCTGAGAAAAAAGCAAGCATGGAATATGAGCTTAATCTTTCCTTGCTCGAGGAAAACTGAGTACGATTTTGCAATTTTGCCTAAATTTTACGAAAATTTGCGCGGTTTTAAATTTAAATTCGTATGGATTAGAAAACGTTATTTACCTGGCGGGTGGTGTGTATTGGAAAAACTGTGCTTAAGTCCAACGGTGCAGATTTTCCCCTTAGGGACCGAATCAGACCGGTAAATAATATATTAACTTTTCCTTCCGGTTTTCTCTATTCCACTTTGCTGAGAATGGCTGGGATTAAAATTACGGGCCGTAATCTACATTTTAAAAAAGGCTGGACCGTTACGAGCACATGATTAATCAATCAGATTCGATGATTTGAGATCCCGGCCCGCTGAGATGCTTCTGACAAAAATAAATACCTGATGCAGAACCTTTCTAATATTTTGTTTCTGTGTATTAAATTTAGTCTCCAATTTCTTTATATTCCTACAGCGTCAATCTGTCCATCATGCTTCTACATTAACAGCAAAAATGAGACGGAATATCACGCGGTGAGTAAAATGGCTTCTATACCGTCACAAACAGAGAGTATGACTTCAATCGGCGGCAAAAATGTCGACACATTACCAAGGAGGGTATAGTCTTATCGAGTAGCCTCCACCAATGTTATCCCTAATACTCTTACAATTTTACTACAATGATGTACTTGGTTTTCTGTGATTTTACAATACTGAAAGGGGTAGAAGGGTATTTTGGCGAGCAACACTTTCAGGATGATGAGAGTATACCCTTGCTTTTCCTGATCTTTATTTATTGTTCTCCTAGATAATTTTTGAAATATGTTGCTCTCTTCCAAGGCATCGTAATGTTGATATTTTTTGTGTTGTTGTAGCCCAACACTACCTGGACAGACGGGAGCTGCCTGAAGCTTAAGTGCGAACTTACTGTTAACCCATGCTACCCTCTTAACCAAAGTGCACAGATAAAAACAGAGCATATAATTTGCGACAAATGTCCAACGGTGAGCATCTTAGCTCAGGCTATATGTATATCTATGTTGTTGTCTAGTGATAACTTTCCTTTATCCAAACCAAGGACAGGAGTCCTTATCGACATGCTCATGGTTAGACACCAATATATTACAAGTAAAGAAAATGATCCACGCTGGTGAACTTCAATTTTAAAAACTGCAGGAAAAGAAGCCGTAAAAAATTCAAGATTTCGGAGGGATTTGAAAGGTGCCCCCTAGATATTTTTTATATAGTTTATTTCATGTAATTGTTGCTTCAATATTTGGCTGGTAAGAAACGCAAAAAACAAACAAACAAACGAACAACGAAAAAAATAAGAACGGTTGGTTACCATTTTCAATCTCAACGCAATTCTTAACCCTCATCATTGCCATGCTTTGAATGTTTTTACTGAGCTAGTTATTTCCTTCTCTTGTAGGGATCTATTCGACCTCCTGCCAATGACAAAGAGTGTTGTCCTCCATGTGGTAAGTTGACTCTGGAAATCAGAGCGGAAAATACCAAAAGTACAGGCTCATTATGATATGCATCTCGAGAGGGAAGTATATCACCTCACTTAATCTATCCTCTCGCAATTTGTTTGAGTCGACCTCTTACGGAAGTAGTGAGCATGTTACGATACGCCACTCGGGACCTTAGTTTCTTTGCATATCTAAGGTGATCTGAAAAGGTCGAGATTGATGTGGCCAAAAAGAAACACCACATACACTCGCGCACAAAAAAAGAAGGACTGGGTGCAGTAGACTTAGAAAGCTCTGTAAAACCAAAGAATTTAGCAAAGAAGTCAAATTAATTTGCTGATTGAGATATCTACACTGATTCGGCAATCCTTTCAAAACACCACCTGCTCGCAACTCCGATTTCATCTTTCATTTTTGGTGAGAGGATGTAAAGGTGATTGTTATCAGTATTGTTAATGGTTCTCGTAAACAGTGGGTCCTAGATGCCTACAATTTAAGTTATACAAAGCTAAAAGAATAGTGATCTAAACGAGACGCCTCTTTAATTTGTGATAAATATGAAAACTCCAGTGCAACACATTGCAATATTTTCGAAAAAGTAACTTATTGCTAATTTTCGCGATTGAGATCTTCGGTTAGCAGATGTATCAGTAATTAGATTAGATTGGGAAAAATTGAGCTTGGAAGTCCAGTGACCCAACTTCCCCCTAGCTAATTCCGGTTTCAGCTGGTCACGAATATTCCTTTTTTCCCTCCCACAAGCTGATTCCGGTTTCAGTTGGTATAGGAGTAGCCCGTATTCCTTTTCCCCCTCCCTCAACGGAGTGTCAGTTAACCCCCTCCCCCATATTTAGTCATAATTCCCTGACAGGCCGCCGAAACCATTTTGTATCTCTGGCTAAACAAAGGTATTGTGAGAGTTACGTATTTTAGAATCGCAACACGGGGATACGGCTAGTGCTTGTGCGCCGCTGTCGAATTGCTCTCTGTTGAGTCAGCCTGTGAAACTTGTTTAAGCTAGCAATTAATAATTAACAATAATTTGTCCTTACTATTTTTCATAGAACCGGGTCCTAGCAGTGGCAATTGTTTACTAAACAAGGGAAAATTTGATTACATCAAGACAAAGGAAAACTGCACGTCCAGGGTTAAGTATCAGCACAACACATGCCGCGGAACGTGCGAGTCCACGTCCACTTCAACGTATGGTGAGACCGGCTTGGATTCGTTCTGCGCATGTTGCCAGCCTTCAGTGGGAAAACTCTGGACTGCGACTCTGGACTGCCCTAACAATGAAGTCCGATCGACAAACTTTTTCGAGATTATAGCGTGTCGCTGTCGACAGTTCAAGTGTGTTTCTGAGCAAGACAAAAGCGGAATGGAAGAGATTAACGAAAAAGGTCAAGTTGTGGACATCAACCAACAGAGTGTCGGCCGAAGACGTCGCCGTTAATCAATTACAGGGGAAGGACTGGGTCAAATTATCAACTATCTTACAAATTCTTAACCTTATATGATGGGGGAGTTAATGTTTAATAAAAATGTACCGGATATGTAAATCGTTTGATCGTTTTTCTTCGTGGCGTGATCTTGAGTTTTCGTACTTGCACGCTGTTGTATGTCCCGCTTACATGCGTGCGCGTTTTTTATCCCTTCAACCACTTACACACAGGAAAAACACCCCTTTCCAATTTTTATTCTTTGAGTTATAAACATGCGTGATATCCTGTCCTTTAATTGGCCTTGAAGATCAGAATCGAAAACACGCAATTTGTTTTAAATTGTCTAGAGCTGTCCTTCTGCATTTAAAATTTTGGTTGATCAACTAAATGCTTTCGTTATTGAGTAATAACAATTGTACATGAATTTGGCATTATATTTTGAACGGTAACTGGTGGTGTCGCCCTATTGCAAGTTCGCTTAACCACCGTCGGACCTCCGCCTTAGCCGGTTCGCCCTTGAATCAATCTACCCGTTTTTTAAATCCTCTCCTCTCGAAAGCGTTGACTTTTTGTTTTCTCCGAGTGAAAGGCTTGACTGTGAAAGGACACCATGAAACGCTGGGCGCAACGACGCACGATTTGTAGTACTTTTTACGAAATACGTACGTTGGTAAGGTTTATGGTGGTTCCGCCACATCGGAAGTTGACCTCCTACCACCTTTACCATTAGCCCCCAAATCTTTCGACTAATTTCCTTGCCACAGAACGTATTCATTTCCTGTCGAAAACATGATTTGTTAGGACCAACACGCAATTTCACAGGGAAGCCATAACAAGTCTCAATCAACATGCAAATTCCTAGACGTGTTCACTAACGCACGACTAATCATGACGAGTAATGCAAAGCCACTTTAATACTTGCCTTACCTTCGAACTTCGCTCTCACATACTAACACTCTTTGTAGACACTTTGTTGTTATAAGTTTCTGTCGACTTTGACGCTCGCGAGGCTAATCGCTTGACCGAGTTTTAGTGGAATGCTTTGTGCTAATGTTTGTTCATATTGATAGCTATGAAAAAATTGTTTTGTTCATATTTTTGTATAATTTGAGTATCTAAATTATGTTCATTTGTAGAGTGATATAGATTACTAAGACATTGTACACAAACCCTCAACGAACTTTGGCCTGAATACCTCTGTGTTTATGTCCACTCTGCTAGCGGCTACAGTTTAAGATATAATTTCGCTCTGACGATGGGCTAACGCTCTGAACGTCATTTTTAGGAACTCTCTACGATTGTAAAGGTTAATAGCGTTTAAACGTGTTCCCTTTAGGAGACACAAGACAGTCGAACCCGTATTAAACTGTCACTCATGGAAATGGCTTGAATACAGCTTAATACGGGTTGATTTGGTTTCGTCAACCGAGTTGATAATGTTAATTAGCCAGTGTAGAGTTTCAAGGCTGACGTTTCGAGCGTGAGGCTTTCCTCAAAATAAATGGATGAATTTTGGGATGTGTATGTTTGTATGCAGAAGATGGAGCTGCGCTGTTGGTGGGAACATAGTGACGAGAAAAACAAGAATAGATAAGTTGAATGAAAAGCGTTCGTTGATACAGTTGGGATAAAGAGAGCCGATTTGAAAGATGAATTTATGCTCCAGGCTTTCCGAACTACCTAGTTGTAAAGAGAGGCCGAAGACTGCCATATGCTCCAAAGAAAGAATAGGGAGATTAAAGTGTTTAGCGACTGGTTTGGATGCGTCCTTGCCCTTCCTTTCTACGTAGCGAAGGTGTTCTCGGAATCGGTCACTTAGTCGTCTTCTTGTTTCTTAAGAAGTGAAGATTGGCGGAGGTATGCGTAAAGTGATCAGTAATCTTGATAAGTCGCTGGGTCCCGAAATTTTCTCCATGCTATGAATGAAAAGACAGGTTTTGCATCGTGCGCGAGCGCATTTGATAGCTCCAGGTTGGTCACTAATTTGTGAAGAATTTCTGACCAAAAAGTTACCTGTGTTTTTGTCACGTTTGAATTAAATTTTATAAATTGTAGAAGAAAGTACCTGTCTCTGAATTATTTTGAGGTAATTTAAAGTTTCTGAGAATGATAGATTTCACTGCGTGGTTGTGAGGATGACATGTGAGTGTAAGTAGATTGTTATCGGTATCTTCCTTCTGTGCCGTTTTGTGGTGCTGACTGTCGATTAATTTGTTTCTGTTTTTCCATGTCCGCCCTCTTTCTCACGCAAAGTAGCCTTTTTGGTCGCATCGCAGACTGCCTAAAGATGCTTTCTTTTCCGCGCTCTTTTACATTGTTGTTAAAGCCCCTTGGATCGACCAACAATAACAACAACAACAAAATTTAGTTTCCTTAGCAACACGCCACATAAATGAAACTAAAAAGATCATAATTTTCTAAATTTATCAGTCAAAGTACTGAAGCCAGCATAAGTATCCTCTTGCATCAAAATGTCTAATAGCTGATTTCGTAACACTGTTTAGGTAAAGAACGAAGACATATGGTAAGACCATTCCAAATCTTTGCATCAAGTTTTTAAAGGGAATTTATGTTATGTTTTGCTCTAGACTCTGAAATGGTGTGTTTTCTGAAGAATATCTAAATAATTTTTAGATGCTGGGGAGGTGTTACATTGTTGAAGAAGTCATGCATAAAAATGCAGATTGTTTTTGAACAATTAAGATGAAAAGGAAAAATATTTGACAAGTTGAACAAGATGGAATGTAAAGGGTTTGAAAAATTTTGTGCGGAGAGCACGTTTTTGAAAAATCAAAACTTTCTCTTAATTTGATTGGCAGCTTGGCCCCCACTGCAGCAATCCCGCAGCCCAAGCAGTTTTTCAATCTGGACAAAACGCCGAAAAATTTGCTAATTTAAGTGAAATTAAAATGCAGTGTGTTGAGTCAAAGATAATTTGAAACGATGGAGACACCAAGATATATTATATTATTTCCGTTCCAGAGAGACAATTTTTATATTTCTATGAATCCCGTCTAACAAAAGATGTAGTTAATGTTTGTTACAACTAAAGCAAAAACGAATGAATTCAAAATGTATCGTGATCCAGAATATAACGACATTAAAACAAAGGGCCTATCTACACTGATTGCCGATTGCCTCTTTCAAAACATAACCAATCGTGAAGTTACGTTGTAGTATTTTTGCAAATAGAAAATGCTAATTTTATACGCTTGTAGAAAAAACGTACTTTGCTGGATGGCCTAAAGTCCCCGAACTAAGCCACACGACTGAGTCACTGGAAACACAAGAAACCTCCATACGACTTTGCTTAGAAACCTCATTCAAAAAAAGTGCAGTCTTCACCACAAAACTTACCTAGCGGAATGCAAGTGAAGAATTTCATCTGAGCTGTTAGTTTTTTTCCAGTGTAAACAAAATGGGGGCAGTCTACTGCTGCCTCTACATAGATCTGCCTCTTTCGAGGTCTCCGCTGTTCCCGTGATTCAAATTCAACCAAATACGGTTGATAGATTTTCCAGTGGGTCCTCCTCTTCCTTCTTTACCTCTACAGTCAAATTGGAATGAGCGTTCGATTTTGCAGGATCTCAGTTGGAATTCTTTCGCTTTACTCTTTATCTTTTCTGGTAGACACGAGCCTAACATTTACGTTTTACAACCTGAGACAATTTTCTTTTGAAACATTATACTTCAAGGACGGATCGAACCAAATCAGACGCCCAGATATAAGCTATCGAGTACAAATGACTGCGCTTGTCGCGCGTTCTGTATTCAACTCACCCTTGATTTAGGTGAAAAACTTCTGGAAAAAGACTGGAGGCTTACAAAAGACAAAAAGTCCTTCTAGTATTCGGGGTGTTACTTAAGTTCGTGAAAAGATATTCTATACTACTCACCAGTTATTCATTTCACTGTTTCGTTCTCGACATATCCATATAAATATCCCGGCAAACATCAGCACAGCTCTTTGCTCGCGTTTCCTGTTGTCCCTCACAATTCCACCATTCTGAATACCCGCTAAATTCCGCGTTTATGCCTTTTTACAGTTCGCCTCGACATCAAAATGTATTAAACCTGGCTCAGTGTCATTGATCAAAACTAAATTTCACTGAGGAAACACCGATTTCGACCAAATTTTAACTTTCATATGATTCATTGAAGTCTCGACGCTTTGAAAACCTCAATATATGAACAAAAACTCCGCTTTCGCCATTCAACAAATAGGTTTTAATTCTGACTCAACAAAACCCTGCGGAATGTGAACAATTCCACATTTTCATTCAGTGGCGTGGTTTCCAGGGCGACTTTACGTACACTGACTTGAAAAGTGATTAAGCGCGTGGCGAAGTAACGTGCAGTATCATGAGAAACGTGCGAAAAAGGTGTAACTGACGAAGAAAAACGCTAACAAACCTAACAAAAAAACACTAACGAGGAGGTATACAATTAGCAAGCGCTTAGATCTTATAGGATTTGTTTAATTTTTATTTCTATATTTTTATTGAGGGCTGGGCATTTTAAGTGGTACTCCTAACATTTGCAAATCATGGAAATCAAAATTAGTTACACGTACAGTGACCAGGATTTGCTTTAAACAGATGTAATTCAAGACGTTACAGTTATGATCATATTTCCGTTGTTGTTTTTTCGGTGACGTAACCCCCCTTTCAGTGATGTGAAATTTGCACGCTCTTATTTCGCGCTATTTGCAAATGTAGTTCCTTTGTTTCTGCTTTTTTGCTTTCACATTCAATCTTCTTCGTTACCTTGTGAGGTTGGGTTACGCTACGTAATGTTGATGAGCTTCGTTTCCCGCGTCATTGCAGCGGTAAGTTTCGTTTTCCTTCTTCGTGTACTTATCGTTCTGTGTTTTTGCTTTTCCTCGAGTTTTTGTGGCTGGTATTTCTCTATTTCTTAGTGAGTCAAGTACAGTGCTCCGAAATGAAAAAACCGTAGTTTCGTGCTTCGTATCTCGATAAAGCATGCTAACACGTTGACCCATTATTGTCAA